TAGATTCATTTTGATCTACAGAGACAATTTTTTCGTTTTTTATTTAAGCCGAAAGTCAGATTCTCATAGTCTCGTCATCTTTTGATTCTTTCACCTTTTATGGATTATTTTTGGCTTCTGCACAAAACGAGGAATTTCGAATCAAAAAAAAAATGGAGGGTTCGCTTTTTCGCTCGCATTTTCCCATGAATGATGCCATAGGCAGACAATTCAATAAAATTTTTTGTATTGCGTCTGTCTGGCACAGCTACAATAATTTTGGATTGGTGAGATCGTTTCGAGACCCGAATTGGTGGCCTTCAAATATTGGCCAGTTGAGGAAATTTTCAAAAAACTCGACTTTTTTGCATTTCCATCCAAAAATCTTCCATTCGCTCTCGTTTTATTTCATTTTTCTCAAATTTTCGCTTCGAGACCCATCGTTTTCTAATGAAAAAACTTTGAATATTTCAAAAGTCGAATTTTTTTTTTTTGAAAGTTTTAATCCCAAAAAATTGTTTTTTTTTTTTATTTGCCTTTTTCCGGAAATTTCCTTTTTGCTCAATTTTCAAAAAAAAATGACGTTTATATGTAAAGAAGCCTCAAAAATAGATCAAAAATCAAGAAAAAAATTCCATGTTTCGTGTCAAGACCTCTACGCAATTCAATGGTATGCGCCTTTAAAAAATTTTTGAAAATAAATTATGAATAAGGAATTCAAGCGATTACCATATGAGTTCGTGACAAGAGCCAAAAAAGATATTGGCGCCAAATTTAAATTTTCAAATATCTACAATTTTCTCAAATCAACGTTTGGCGGGAAATTCAAAAATCCGCAAGTTGGTCTCTCGCAACGATTCCAATTCGCTCATGGTCTCGCCGCGATCCGTTTTCCGGATTACTGTAGTAGGCGATATTGCAAACATCCGTTCGGATTCGAGATCGTTTTGACAACACAAAATGCCGCATATTAGTTGTGGTCCGTAGAATCGCGGGGGGGGGACCAACGAAGAAAAAAAAGGGAAATGATGTGTCGTAAGACAAAGTAGAAGATGAAGCCCGGAGTTCAACGGGTCCACAAAACCCCAACACACTCCGGTTTCACATTTTTTCTTCTTCTTCCCATCGCCGGCCTTCTCCATTTTTTTTCGTCCATCTGTGTGTGCACCTCCTCCCCCCCCCCTCCTCCTCTTCCTTCCTCCGTCTTCCCCTCTATGTTTTATTTTTTCCCTCTTTGATGTTTATTTCGTGTGCAAGTTATGCTCTTGATCGCATTGGTCTCCGATTTTGTAGGTCCCCCTCGAGAAACACACACACACCCATCAAACACCAAACCCGCAACGATGTCGGCAGGCGAAATTTGATAAATGACGTGGCGTCGGTTCAACGAGTTCATATCAATTTCCGGAGTTTTGTGTGTTTTAATCCCGCCCGGCCCGCTGATTCCATTGGTTTCTCGTCGCAATTCAGTTAACACTCTAGTTTGTTCGCGCCTCAAAATTCGACTCCTCATTCTGCACAACCGTATCCCGAACTGATGCCACCGTAATCCCAGTGAATATAGTCTAGCGTTTGTTTTTTTTTTTGTTGGACTCACACACCAGCACCATCGCCGCCGTGAGAACATTCACGTCATCGCAAAAAAAAATTTCGCTCTGCTCAAATTTTTTGGTCGACAACCTCGCTGGATATTTTCGTCTGTGCACACATCGTGACGCGAAAGTGCACACATTTTGCTCGATTTGTAGTTTGTGCACAACTCGATATAAATTGAAGTCTGCAATTGCACCGTGACGCAAAATTGCACAACTTTCTCGATGTTCCTTAAAATGAAAAAATTGCGAAAAAAAATGTATGAAATTCTAAAAAATTTATATTCGCAAGTGCACCGTGACGCAAAATTGCACAATTTTTTTCGATCTTCTTTAAAAGGAAAAATGTCCGAAAAAAAATGGTGAGTAGCTCAAATTTCTATCCGCAAGTACACCGCGACGCAAATTTACATCCCCCGCCTTCTAGACGCTCAAATCACCACCAATTCAATTATTGTGAAACCGTTTCGCCGACAAGTTTGAGATCAAACATTCAACGCCGTCTCGCCGCTAGAAAACCGGCGGGGATCAATCACATCAAAATGTTTTGATTCGTCCCAACCGAATTTTCGCCTCCCCGCCACCCGCTTTTCTTTTTTTCTACATATCTCGATGGTCCGTTGAAAGTCCAAAGTCCAACCAGCGCGTTTTCATCTCGCTGATCTATGGTCATTCGATTTTTGCATAAACAAGCCCACCTAATTTCTTCCTTCCTTTTTTTTCGTTCAGCCGGATTTGTTTTTCCCCCCCCATCTTTTCCTTTTGCGGAAATTTTTCCGTCAGCGACTACGGTAGGATTACGGTCGTCAATTGGACCAATTCCACTCGAGATTTCTATCAAAGTCATTGATTTTGCCAATCCGCCTTTTCGTCAAGGGAATTCGGATTGGGTCGCGACGAGACCAGAACACATCCATCTCGATCTGATAACTCGACGGCTGTTCAGCGAACACACACACACACAGATTTTGATCTACTCTTGCCATCAAACTTCAATGATGGAATCGAGCGCGATTTTTGAATTTCTTGATATGTTCCGATTCACGGACATTTTCTGAAATTCCATTTTCATCATCACGTGTCCGAATGTAGATTTACGAGCATTAGCCTTTCATTGTGGTCTCGCGCGGATTAACTAGACTAGAGATTCCGAAATGAATGAAAAATTATTGAGGCGTGGCGAGACCATCGCACCAAGACGATCGTCGTAAATCGACATCAATCCATGCGCTTTTTTTCAAACCGAAATTCTTGGAATCAAATGTGTGCAATTTTGCGTGTGTGTGTGTGTGTACGCCAAATTTCACGCGGGTTTTTGAAATTTGTTTTTTGTGCCGAACAAAATTTTGAGAAGATTTGCGAGTTTTTGCGCATTTCGCAAAATCATTAAATGTCCGCAGATGGAAATTCACAAATTTCAAACGACATTTTTTGCTGCTACTTGCTCGGTTCCCCTTGCGAAGATCGCGCCGATAATCTCGACGTTCGAGATTTCGAAGAACCGTGATGAGCGCGCATCCTCAAAATTTTCTTATCGATCCAAATTCCACCAACATCAGCACCATCACCACCACAGATCTTTCCCCAGCCCCCCTCGCGTGGGTTGTCTTTCAACTCATCAGCGCCGGTCGGCGTCGACGACGCATCCCAAAAACGATCTTTCGATCGTCGTCGTACTCGTCTCTCCGCAAATCACACGATTCTCCCTTGCTACCGCAGACCAAACAGTCCAGCGTGCCTCGTAGGCAACCGGATCGTCGCCTCTCTCTCTCTCTCTCTCTCTAGGACGACCCTCACGCCGTCCTGTCCTTCGACAAGTTGGGAGAGGGGGGGGGGATGGTTTTTTTTCCGCGAATTTGCAAAAATCTTGGGCGAACGTGCCCGTGCCGAATTTTCTGATCTACTACGATGATGTTGTTCGTCATTTCAAACAATTCCAAATTGGGCGTCGAACTGATGTCTCCCTATTCAGATATCAACTACAACAGCAACCAACAAAAAAATAATAAAGAACGCTGACGAGTTGCGTCGCGCATTTTTGATCGACGCCCGAAAACCAAACAGATCAGCCGCGTGGGGGGTTCGCCTCTTCCTCTCCCCTCCTCTCCTCTCCTCTCCATCCCCCCCCCAAAGGGTTCAAATATCAATTCGCCGCATTTCTTTTCTGTAGTTTCGTTGTTGACATTTCTCGTTTTTTTTTCTCCTCTCCATTCCTTTTTTGTTGTTGTATGTTCTCTTTTAAATCGATGGCCTTTAAAGGCGCGTCGTTCAACAAAACTAATTGGTCTCGCTGATGGCATGTCTCATTATTGTTTTGAAGTTGCTTGAAGAGTTTAAAGGCGCACAACTTTCCAATTCCATTTTGGGTCGTGGCGCAACTTTAAAGATACATGAATATCCGTTATATTGATCTTATGAACCTTACACATAAATCATCATCACCCTTGTGACCTTTAAAGGCGCATGCCATTTTGCAACTCGAAAACTGCTCATATTTCAAATCGCAAGCGCTCAAATATCGCAGAGAAACTCTTCCATTCTTTTTTTTTGAAATGGAATAGACTATATTCAAATTTCAAAGTGTGCTCTTATCAATTCGGCGACTCGTGATTCTTCCAATCATCATTTGTTTTAAATTTTTTTTTTGGAAAAAACTTCTCCCTGCATTTCCGCCTATACTATATTACTGTAGAGATTACGGTAGCTCGAACTGGTCGAGCGAGGAGGCGGATGGCCGGCGATCCTGATTATTTATGGCGATCATCGATACGAACCTCTCATTCTTGTTATGTTGTTGGCCAACCAATTAGATTAGTCTTTAATTGGAGAGACCCTCCCAAATTTAATGTGCTGTTTGAATTATGATATGACTAGATTTTTATTTAAATGCGACGAAACCACTCAAATGAGTTGGGAGTAGTGCTTTTCGATCTTTTGATTGATAGCTCTTCGCGACGTCAAGCTGAAACGACTAATAGATAAGCGAAGAAGAATCATGAAATGAAATCAGGCGCGTTGCCGTGACAACGACGCCGCTGAGCCATTCGCGTCGGGATCAAACAACACGCTCCTCGACACCGATCCGTATAGTGCTCTGTTCAATTTTTTTTTGTTTTGGCTTGCCTAGTCAGCGCCCTGATCATTCTAATCTTGTTGCTCTCTCTCTCTCTCTCCGCTCGAGTCCAAAACTCACCGACGCATAATATTCATATCTCATAATTACTACTAAAAGATTATGGGAATCATGTGCAGTTTGGCGTGAGACCCTTAATAGGACCCCCCCCTCCCGAATATCTCTTGATTTTTTGGTCATCGGCTTTTGTTAGCTTTGAGACCATTACCACCCCCCCCCATAGCCGTGAATGATCTTTTGGCTCACTCTCTACTTAAGTGCCGATCGAGATCGAGATCGAAGTGTTGTTCTTACAGATGCTCGTCGACACCGCTTCGACGTCGCGATCGCCGACGCCGAGAATCGCGTCGAAACGCGACTCGCTGACGTGTATGGTGTGCGGCGACGCGGCGCTCGGAAAACATTATGGTGTGATCGCGTGCAATGGATGCAAGGGATTCTTTCGACGAAGCATTTGGAAGAATCGCACCTACGCGTGCCGATTCGGCGGCAAATGCAAAGTGGCGAAAGGTGGGGGCCGCCAATTTCGAATCTATATTGCCCGCAGAGTCCGCAGAATTGATGCCGAGTGATTGCACAAATGTCAACGTTCGTACTACATAGTGCAATCACGTCGCATCAACTCTACGGACATGCATTTTAATCGACGCCTAAATAATTCAAATCAGCGCAAAATTAAAAAAAATTATTCTGATTGAATTTCGCGCGACTTCGGAAGAAATTTGGTCTTGACACAAAACTGCAGGTGTAGATTTACGGGCCAACGAATAAGGGTGGGTTAAAGGCGCACACCGAGACCTCGTTTTAAATTTTCTGGCATTTTCCGCAGTCGCGAGACGTCGACAATAAAAGAACAATGAAAGAACACTTTTTGGCGCTCTATTGCAAAGCTGGGTCTTGAAGAGAGTTCGCCTCGAGACCAAACTATCACAATTCCAATCGCCACCATTTACTTTGATGTTTGCAGAGCAACGGAATGCGTGTCGAGCATGCCGACTGACGTGTTGCCTAAAAGTCGGCATGAATCCGCGCGCGGTTCAAGGCGACAACAACGACGACACCGAGTGGGCGAGCGAAGCCGAGAAGCCGCTTCCGTCCGTCTGGTAAGCATTTTTGCGACGATCGTGTCGATCCTTCTGATTTTCCTTCTCTTCAGCGACAGCACCACACAAACGTGCGATATCGAACGACCGATGAAGACGAAACAAGAATTGGTAGAATCGTTTTTTTCGAAAGCTCATCGACTTATTTTTGTTTTGCAGAGAAGAGACACATTGGTGGCGAACCTCAAATCGGTCTATCATCGCACCGATCCGCAATACATGTGGGAGCACACGCATCCCGGACAATACGATTTCAAATACGCGTTCTACAACACCGAAGTGGTGTCGGCGCGAACGCCGGTAAGCGATTCGGTGTTTGCACGAAATGCGCGCCACACCGCACGCAAAAATGCGGACGTCATTATTATGATTTGTTGTTTTTCAGCTTCGGCCCACCGCTGAACGCGTCGCGTCGCTGGCTGACGTCGTCGACGATTTCAGAAGAGCATTCGTATTATACGCCGATTTGATTAAATCGCTGCCGGAGTTCTTTCAAATCAATGAAGTTGATCGCGTAAGAAAATTTCTTTTTTTTTCATCATCATTCGACTTCCCATTTTCAGATGCTCTTCGCAAAATCGAGATTCGCCTCATTCTATTGGTGGATCACCGCCAATTGGTCAGCATCTGTTGGATGTAATGGCGTATGCTACGCCAATGGCGCATATCATCCAGCCGAAGTCGACGATATGCCCAAGAGTGGTGGAAAACTGGGCGTTCGAATCGAGTACGACTTGAAATGATATTTTCAACCGTATTTGCAACATTTTCCAGTTACAATGGTGTCAGTCAGAAGAGTTTGGATAATCTCGTCGGACCTCTCAAACGGCTAAATCTTAGCGAAGAAGAACGTCTTGTTGGAGCTATGATGGTGATTGTTGCAGATCGTAAGCATTAAACTAGATAAAAAATATTTCTATTTTCTTTTTAGCAGTTCCTAACGTTGAAAAAGAGACGGAAACAATACTATCGCGACTTCGCGACCAGATCACTGAGATCATGCTTCTTTGCATGAATGGAACCGACGCTCAAAAAGCAGTTCGACTAGGCCAGCTGGCATTGCTTGTTTCATCAATTACGGTATACATCCAATTCTACTAACAGTTTTGAACTTTTAATTTTAGGATATCGTGTACTTATCAACGGAAAACATACAACTTTCTGACGTCCTTCATGTTATTGACCTTGGGGATTGGTCTTCGGAGCTGCGGCAGCACCGATACATGCATAAATTCTGAGAATTCCACTAATAAAACATTCCATTTCCTTGTGTATTCGATTTTCATAAACGACATTTTATTGTCAACAAACAACAGCAACAATTTAGTTGGCGGCAGCGGATCTTGGCTTCGGAGTAGTTCCCTCGCGGAATCCGTTTCTGAAAATATATACATTTCGACCTCACATTTGTATAAACATCAAATTTTGTTCTTTTGGTTATTTGATCTAGTGTGAGCGAAACGTTAACATTAAAAAATATATATAAGAATGTTATATATTCAAATGTTGCTAAAATCAACATATTCATGAATACTATTAAAGAAAATTAAACTTGATTCATTTAAAGGTAATGAATGCATCGATTATGAGTTCTATTCTTGTCGCTTTTCTAAATTAAGTATCATGCTATTTGAATAGACCGAAAATAAAGTAGAGAATCAACAGGGTTTAAATCGAGTTTTTTACATTCCTCCATTAAAGTGTCTCACTCACGCTGGAGTTTTTTCGACCAATGAAATTAGGCGCAAGAATTAATTTATCATAATTTAGTTTTTTTTAAAATAAATAATTTCTAAAACAAGTTTAAACTAAAATTTACCTGAATCTTCTGTTCACATCTCTGAGATGGCTAGTGCGGCCAGTTCCGGTGGTGCGTCTGCGGATAGACTTAGCTCCCCAGTTGTAGGATCTCTTCTTGGCATCTGGGTACCCGCACGAGGCACATCTCTTCTTCTGGATGTGGAATGAGGATCTTCCGCAACGCTTGCAAAGCGTGTGGGATTTAACGTGCTTCTTTCCGAAAGCTTGAGTACCCTTAGTCATCTGAAAAATTGCAATAAAACCATATAAAAGACAACGATTTCGACGATAAAAGTGTAGCAAAAAAATTCGGTGAGAGAAAACAGCGGTTAATAGACAAAAAAGCAGCAAAAACTACCAAATATAATTTCTATTTCCTAAATTAAGCAAAACAAGCCAAATCGTACATTTGTACCAAACAAACGTCACTCAACACGTAGAGGATATTTTTGTTATTATTTCAAGAAACTTTTCGGCAAGAAATCGATAAAAACTTCAACGAAAAATAGCATAAAAAAGAAATAAAATAGGAAAAATTTAGGCTAGTGTGAAGGGTGGAAGGTAGCAAGCGCGGCAAGACCTCGCTCTGTCATAAATGCGTGCGCCTTTAATCGTGTCTGCACCCTCTCGCTACAATACACAATTTTTTTTGCATTTATTCGATTAAAAAAAATCGTAATGATTGAAAATAAGAAAAGATTTTGGCTTATTTGTTTTATAAAACAAAATCAGACGCGTGATGTCCAAATTTGATATTTTTTAATATGCTTTGTTATTTCAAAATTCAGAGTTTTCTAGTAAATCAAAATTTCAAAAAGATTTAAAGAAACGAGCGTAAGATTTGAATAAAAATCAGTTTTTTAACATCATATTTAATATTTTGAAGGAAATATGGGCAAATCAAAGACGAAATCCGCTTCCAGATCTATTGGAAAATGGAAATTAATACCAAATGTTTTTTCATCGTACTATTTTTTTTCTGAAATTAGAAAAAAAGATAATAATTTTAAAAATAATTCAGGGAAGGGAAAAAAGAAACAAGAGATAAAGAGAAGGAAGATGTTCCATCATTTGGAAACTCAAAATCCAAATCTAAATCTACGGTTTTTTGGAAAAAAAAATTGAAGAATGTCTTTTCAAAACTGTAATTTTTTTTAGCAAAGAAGCAAATCAGAAAGCAAAGGTCTGAAATCGATAGAAGACGAACAAAAAAACAAGAAACGACGGGAAAAAAGCGAGGATAAGTCGAAAGACGAAGCAGAAGCTAAACAGAAGAAAGAGAAGGAGGCGAAAAAAAACAACGAGTTTGAGCAGCACAGTGTATTCGAGGTATTCTAGACAAAAAAATGGAAATCGAGAATTTCTATGAAAATTGAACAGGAAGTCGAGGGTCCCGCTCAACCATGTCAAACTCAAACGCACGGTGTCAAAAATAAAATGCGATGGAAGATCGACGTGCAGCCAGTCGATGTGAATGGCGATCCCAAGATTCCCGACATTATTGAGAAGATTCGAATTCTGGTAGGCTCAAATAATTCAAAATTGTTGCCAATGCGATTTAAAATTTAGAAAAAGAAGGGCAAACATGCGAAGAAGGAGATCACGTCGAGAAGTAGAGAATCTACGGACGATGATGCGGTTTTCACCTCAAAAATTCTTTAATTTTTGATTTTTTATAGTTTGAAGACGATATTATCCTATGCGGTCGAATTATGGCGATGATGCGAATTGGCAAGTTGATCGAGAAGGAGATCAGCGAGTCGGATCAGGAGATTCTCAAGAACTATTGCCGGTGTGGAGGCGATGAGGACAAAGTATCATTTTTTAAAACCAAACCTTTAAAAGGATTCCAATGAATTCCGTATATAGGCAACTCCAATTATCGAGAAGATTGTCGAAAAAACGCTGGCGAGTGTGGTGGCGAAAAACGAGAATTGTCGAACGCCGACGGTGCCCGGAGAATTGCGAATGTTTGCTGTTGAGGAATCGAAAGTTTGTTTCTTTTTTTGTTGTTGTTGATAGAAGCTATTGAATTGGTACGCGAGTTCAGGCCAAAATCCCGTTGACTGCCGTTCTTCATGTTCGCAAAGATTTGCTGTACGTCTCGTGGTCGAAAGCCGCCGAAATCGAATCAGAAACGACGGTGAGAGTTTGGAAATGAGTGTTCAACAAGAAAAAACTAACAAGAAAAACATAGTTTCCCTTAAAAATTGTCTTCTCATTGGCAAAATTTCAGCCGAATTAAAAAAAAATTCTTATTTGTGCTTTTTTTTCGAATTTTAACATCTTAAAATCCGATTGAAAGCGTCCGTCGACCAATGTAGATTTACGAGTGCGCCTTTTAAAATGGTCTCGCCACAAGTGAATGCTCATTTTGAAATTGTCATAGTTCGTGCGAGAACATTGCGAAGGCGCGTGTATATTATTCTATCCGCGAGCAGAAGCCGCCGACTATATGGAATAATTTTAAAATATTCATGTTTTAGGACGCCACTTGGGCAATGATGACAACGAAGAAAAAGAAAGAAGGCGACAAAGAATCCAAGGAAGAGACCAAATAGGGGAATTCGAGTCCCTACGAACACAAAAAAAAAAAACAATAAATTTTTCAAATTCGTTTATTTCTTTTAGGCAGGCAATCAAGAAACACTTTCACATAGTGACAAATCAAGTGACGAACAAACAAAATAGATATATGTATAGTATTCTCTACTGTGTGTCTTTTAAAAATGTTTTACTACTAACTGTGCGACATAGATTCAAAAAATGGGGAATCGGTGGAAGGGATGGTCAGATAAGGTAAAAGAACTGAAAGCTCAAAGCAACAATCAAAAATTCATGGGTTTCCGCGGGAACAAAAGTTTTTTGATGGAGTAGCAAAAAAAAAATATATATATATAAGAATATATATATAACAATAATTGGATAAAATATATAAAATTATAATATATATATATATATATATATATATAATATAAAAATGCGAGAAATACGAAGATGGTGGAGTTTGTGTGTTTCTCGTGTCGAGACAACGCATCACAAAAATTATCATATTTTAAATAATCATTAAAAATTGTGACGAGAAATGAAGAGGGTGGGCAAAAAGAGAATTCACAAGAAAAAATAAGTGGGATTACTCGAGACGAAAAAAGAAACGAATTTTTTCGCATATAAAACTCAATCTAGTCCATTATTAATTCAGATGGAAAGAAAAAAAAAACAACAAAAAAGGAGAAATATTTTAAAAATGATATAGTAATAAAAAGAATGGAGCATTTAGTAAGAATTAGGCAAAGAAAAATTTTGAGATGAAGTGGTGAATGGGGGGGGGGCATTTTTCTTTAAAAATTTTGGGACAACGAGAGCAATACCGGAACACGTAGTTGTCAACACGATGCGATTGAAATGAAGAAGCGCAATGGAAGGAAACAGAACGAATTCATAATTGAATTCGCAAACCCACAATTTATGACTGGAAAAGGTATGTTTTGTTTTAGGAGAGAGCACACAAAATAACGGAGGCGAGGGGCATATCACTGGGAGCCGATTTCGAGGCAATTTTCGTTTCGTTTTGGAAATGATCATATATACATATATGGTATTCGAGTTTCGTTGACTACTTGTGCCCGAACGACTCCTTCACCGCTTTGATGTACGGCACCAGCGATGACAGAGGTTTGGCTCGCGTCAAGAATGGATGAGCGAGAAGCTCGGCGGTGTCGGCCCTGCAAATAACGAGATTGCAATTTTTTCCAATTCTGAAAATTCGATTATTTATGCTGTCGTGCAAGTGCCGAAATTTGGGGTCTCGACGCGCCGTAAATCGACACATTTAATGTTGCCCCAGTTTTTCATTTGGGCTACAGTTCACGCAATCAAAAAACTTTTTTTTATAAATAATTACACATTTTCCAAAGTAGAGCAGTAAAAAAAAATGCATGTTTAATGTAATTTTTTGCATTTTTCTTCGTAAAAAATATATTTCGTGGATTGGTTCATAAGGAAACCCCTCGTAAATTTGATCCTTGAAGAATCCCAGTATTCTCTCACCTCTGATCGGGATCCACAACCAAACACCTATCGAGGAAATGCAAAAACTCCGGCGACAGCTCATCCTTCTTCTTGATCTCCGGCTTTCCATTCTGGGCTATCAAATAGATCGCCTACAATTCAATTCAATTCAAATCAATCAATCAAAAGCGCGCGCACCTTCAACGGCGTCTCTCGCAAGTACGGCGGCTCGCCGTCGATCATCTCCAACGCCATAATGCCCAACGACCAAATGTCGACCTTGTAGTTGTACTGCTTCTTGTTGAGAATCTCCGGCGACATCCAGTACGGTGTTCCGACGACGGTGTCGCGTTTCGAGCCCGGCTGAATTTGCGCACAGAATCCCATGTCGGTGAGCTTCACCTCGCCGTTCATTCCGAGCAGCACGTTGTCGCTCTTGATGTCGCGATGCACAATCGAGTGCCTACAAAAAAACGGAATTGTGTCTCAAATATGATTTCTGATTCCCCCCCCCCCCCCGGCCGCTATTTGTTCTCAACAACTGGTCACTAATGCATTTCGGCCTACTACCACTGTTCAGCTAATAATAAACATTCGAATTAGTAATGAATGATTCCTGTCCAGCGAATTAATCGAATTATCAACGCACCCGTGCAAAAACGCCAATGCTTTGAGGCATTCTTTGAGCACCGCGGCGATTTGTCCCTCGTCGAGTTCCGTCTTCACAACGACGTCGGTCAGATTGCCGCCTTCCAGATAGTCCATGACAACCCACAAATCGTCGGCGTCGACGAGATACGAATCAATGTAATTGACGAGATTCTGAAGAGTGAGCAACAAATGAATTGAGTCGATGAGAGAATTGCTCACCGGATGCCTAAACTTCTTCATCACTTTGATTTCGGTGAGAAGCATCTCCTTTTTCGGTTGTGTCTTGAACGCCATCCGCTTCACGGCAACAACCTGATTGCTTCCAGCGACGTTCGCGACGTACACCGTTCCGGAAGCCCTACAAAAAACGACGATCAATATTTTTGAATCGCGGGTTGTTTTAAAGAACGTCATACCCAACACCAATCTGCTTCTTCATTTCGTAAATCGCCGCCGGATTCGACGGGTTCACAATGGTGCGCAGCTCGTCAAGCACCTGCGAATCTGTGAGCTTCTCGCGATGCGATGCCCGTACTCGAACCGGCTCCTCTTGCGGCGCCGCTGGAAGCGGCTTCTCCGGAATGTTCGCATTCTTATCACCGATCGCTTTGTCGTTCGAGTTCTCCTTCTGGAAAACATCGATTAGCACCAAGTCGAATCGAGAAATCGCAAATTGTGGGATCGACAAAGGAGTTGTCATGCGAATGCTTACATTGGACAGTTGGACGTCGGCGTCCGACGAGGTGTTCGAGCCAACACTTCCATTCGACAGCGAATTGCCGACGGATCGCACCGAATGCGACACCGGCGACGAGCATCCCGACGATGTCACAGACGACGAGTGTACTTTGAGATGCTGAAGACAGAAAAGAGGGTGCACATTAGGAGTGAAGATAAAAAACGGGTAGCGATTAGACGTTTTTTGCCATTTTCGGTGTGTTTTTGAACCCCCCCCCCCCTTAAGCCACAAACCCCCACGTCAATGAATTACCATCAACTCATTCTCAATGTGACTGATGTAGGCGCTCCACGGCGAGAGCACGTTGAGCGGTTTCGGCTTCCAATAGAAATCGTACATGATCGTTCAAGGATGTGCACGAGTCAAGAAGAAGGTCGAACCGAATCAATTGTGCCAAGGCGAAATTGTGGCGGCGGCGGTGTCGACGACAACAGCTGTTTTGGCGCGTCTGCGAATTTCGAAAAAAAACGGTAATGAGGAGGAGGAGCGGCAAACGAATTGAAATGAATCGAATCGAATCGAATCGAATGAGGCGTTGATGACACCGTCGCAATACAACAACGGTTGGATGCAAGAAAAGCAAAAAACAAAGTGAAAGTTACAAGATGTTGGCAAAAAAAAATTGTCGTTACTACGAGAGAATCGTAGAGGATCCCACCACGATGGGTGTGGCGGATATCCCGAAGAGATTTACGATCGTCACAAGACCCAAATCAACGAAAGAAATATTCTAGACCCGAAAAAAACGATCAAAATTTGCTGCAAAATACTAGTTTCGCGCGGCGGGTTTACGCATAATTCTCAATTGAAAATTTCCATTTTTTTTTTCTTCTTCGGTAGTAATTATCGGAGAGGAAGACCCCTCTCTCTCTTTTCTGAGAGAAATACCATTTTGCCTCTTTAGAAGGGCATGACGAGACAGAAAAAAAACCAAACCACACATACGCTTCTTATCAATTAATTGCGTTTTCGCATCAAAGATTTATGGGTTTCGGGGGGTCCGGCGACGACGGCGGTTAGAACGCAACCAGGTACCGGCATTATACTCAAATTTTTCGTTTCCATGTCAGAACGAAACCGCAAAGTGACGCAATACCGTACACATGGGTCTTGAGACGAAACAAGAAGTTGGGCAAACATTCGAGCTTTTCCCTCCAAAAAAAGAGAAAAACCAACACATGGGCAAGTGCGAGAACTCGGCCAGTCCGATGGTGCGACCGAATATCCAATAAAAACGGTTAAAACGACCAATTCGGCCCCCCCATTTCGTATGAATTTGAATGGAGAACAACAAGAACAAGAAAAACGAAAGATGAGGAATACAATCTGCCTAACTAACACAATCAAAAAACGCTCATCGAAGGAAAAAAAAACGAATTGCGTTGATGATGACGTTGACCTCGAATTACCGCTTCACAAATTCCATGTGTGTAAAAAAGCAAATTACGCATATTGATACAGTTTGGTTTGTCACTACGGAAATATAAATATGGGAAGAAAAGCAATGCAAATTTTGTCGAATGCAAACACAAAAGGTGCGCCGGCGCAAAAACCGCATTCATGATGAAGCTGAAACGTTACAGGGGTTCTAGTGGTTCAATTTTCGAAAAAAATAAAACAAATAAATTCGAAATTTTTAAGTTTTTTTTCAAAGGCGAACCTTGCAGAATAAAAATCCGATTTTCCTGCAATTCGAATATTTTTCACATGTTTCCGATGAATACAAATTTCAAATTTGGTCTTCAGCTTCAATCGAGAACACCGACGGAAAAAAAAAGAAGAAAACAAGCCATTCATACGGTTGGTGAGAATCAAATGTGTGTTGAAGCGTGCCGAGCAAACCGGAAACCCAACTAATCAAAAGAAATTTGGTTGGTGGTTGGTGAATGAAAAAAATGGGAGAAAACGATATACAAACATTCGCCTTCATCGTTCGTTCGCTTTCGTCAGAGGAAAAGATTAGGCGGGCGGGCGGGCGGGCCCAAAGACCTCTGACCGGTCTGCCATTACGGCACCGTCAACGACGACGAAGAAGTAAGCCGAAGGCAGAAGCCAACATCAAGCCGCCTCTCTTTCTCTCTCTATTCAAACCAATGTCAGCAGGGGGTCGGCCAAGAAGGGGAAGACGCAGAGAGAATGGGGCAACCTGTCGAAACAAGAAGGTATAATTCACTTTCGCAGATCGGCATATCAAATCAGTTGTTTATCTATCAATCTACAATCGAACAGATGGAAGCCTCATTCGATTACTGTAGTTTGTTTCAGGGACATTGATCCAAGCAAAAGTGACACAATCCAGTTCAGTTCGGTTCACAAGTGCTAAAGCGCGTAATTTGCCAATCTCCTTTTTTTAGTTCTAATTTTTTGTCGCAAATCGCGCGTGAAAAATGCCGAACATCTTTTAGCTAATTGTCTCGTCTAGACAGACTAAATGGAAGGCTTCCGGACAATCTTAATTCGACAAGGAAGCCGACGAGAAGCTTCATCAAACACAAGAAAGACTCAAATTCAGAAAAAAAATTGAGAATAGGAAGGCGCAGAAGAAGAAGATGAAGCGCAAAACCGGTTCGAAAAGAATTAGGAGAATTTGGCATAGCGAGCTTCAACGATCAAGGATTCTGACAGATGCCATCAAAAAATTGTACACTGTCGGCGCCTTTTGAAGAAACTCAATATTCGAATACCAACCATCAAAAGGAAGTCCGCCATCTGAAATCCGCCTCCAACCTTTAAATTCTCGATGCGAATTATTGTCGAATAACATTCGCCGACGTGCCCCATTGATTAATCGCCTCCAAATCGTTTACAATTTTCCAAAAATCTCGTCCCGTCGTCGGGTTCGTTGTAAAAATTCGGCATACGAAAAACGACTGCCGATAGCAATAAATACGACGAAGACCCATCATCATCATCATCATCATCATGATCATTAAGACACACATTGTAAGCTGGAGTGGGTTCTTCCAGCGTTGAGGGTTCCCTAATTGCCCCCCCCCCCAAATACAATCACACCGATAATGACAATTGGCGCCAATTAATAATTGGGTAGTAATTGGGTTAAAACTGCGCAATACGACAAAAGCCTTTTTGCAACAGCAAAACGAAAAAAACGCACATACCGATGGTTTGGGTGGAACTTTGGGCGGAATTCTTGGCGGCGCTCTCGGATCCGGCGCCATGTTCGGATCCGTCGACTGCATTCCGTACGACGCTTTGTTCCGTTGCGGTGGCGGTGGCGGCGGAGGCGGGTGTGCGCTTCGCGGATGAATCGGCGGCGCCGTGTCGGAGATGGTCTGCAATTGCGGTGCGCTCTCGCTCGTCGGCACCGGTGCCGGCGACGGGACCATCCTGTCGGACAGCGATAGCGAAGCGTCTGTCGACGACGACGACAATTGTCCACCACTAGTGCCATTCGCCAATGGACGTATCGCTGACGACGAACCCGACGGCGAGGGCGATGAGGACGGTGCGGCACCTAGAAATTCAAGGCGACAACGTTGGGACCATCTCGTACACGCCACTTACCATTACTACACCGCAACTTCCTTAAATGCTCTGTAACTTGACCCGTAAGCTGTACATCGACCTCATCGTCGCTATTCGTGAACACACTGTTCGTCGTCATGAATTTCGTCTTCTCGTGCTCCTTCATCGACGCCGCGTAGAATTTCACGGCCGTCACCACGGCATTCGGATTCGATTTCTGATCAGCAATGCTGCAAAGAGAGAGGGTTGAAAATTTTTAATGGGGGGTAAATCGATGCAACCGAAAAAATAAAATTACCTAATATCCCGTAACAATATATCCATCCAGGGTTGCGGAAGACCGCTGAACTTCTGCCCATCATAACCAACGTGAACTCTGCAACAAAAAAAAAGCTGCTCCCTCCGAATAGAAATGCCGGTTGATTTGTGGTCAAACGACGACCAACGAGCTTCAAGTGCTCTATTGTTTGTTTGTGTTTCGCTCCTCTTTTGGTTATTCGAGAGGAAAAATTGAAATATGACATTCTCTGAGAGAGAAAAGTGAGAACCAAAAACAGATTAATTGATATTTTAGTGTTGTCGTCTGCAGAAAGTTGGCAGGGTCCTGGCACAAATATAAAAGTGTAGATTTACGGACTAAAGGATAACTTAAAGGCGCATACCTGCGCACTAAGACCTCTACTTAAATTGCTTTTTTTGAAATTTAGCCAACTTCCAGTAACAATAATAAAAATTTAAATTTTCCAACTAAAACAGTTGGAAATAAATATTTTTAAAAAAAATTATATATATATACCGATGCACTGTATTGTATGGCTGACTGATGTCCATCGCCGACGATGACGGCTTCATCTCATCATCTTTATCTTTGTCGCCGCTCGGCGAAAAGATTCGCCCAATCAAGTTGCGTATTCGCACCTAAATTCAGAATATGTGGGAAGGGCGACGATGAGGAGGAGGAAGCAACGAAAATGAATCAAATACCTTTGAGCTTTTCGTGGTTGACATGGCGATGATGAAATGATTAAAACAACTAACAGGCTACGAAATAAACCACTGGTTGACCCGAAATCGAAATCTGCAAAAGCGAAAAAAACAAAGCGTGTTGATTTCAAGAAAATTGCGCGGTAAAGAATCTCAAGAGGCCCTGAAAAAAATTTTGCAACAAAAAAAAAACGCCTGGCCTACCGGCCGGGAGGCAAAACGAAGGTCATCAAATATTTGCTCAATCAGAAAATAAAAACGGGCGTTGATTATCTACCAATATTTAAGACAACAAAACGGCGAAACGGGATAGCTCAAAAAAATGAGATAGAAATAAAATAAAATAAAAGTTGGGAATACAATTTGGTGTATTTTGAGACCAATGAAACAATAAATCAACAAGTAGATCAAAAATGCGCGATTTTTGACCTACAGCGAGAACATTCATGAGGTGAAAATTGATGATGGGAATAAATTTGCAACGGGTTACGGTGGGAGTCTTGACACGATTTTCAAATGAAACAAATTTTCCAAGCACACACAGCGGTAGGTGATGAAGCGCAGGAAGTATATAAGCAAATATACAAGCAATTATGAGACCTTTGATTGGCGGTAATTCAAATTTCAATTTAAACAGTGGGAATTCGGATACCGTACTACGAATAACCTACGAATCAAACTCTCAGTAAATCTATAAAGGGTGATCGCTTTTTTAGCGGTTTTTTTTGAAGATGACAAAAACATTGAGGAATGTTGGAAACACAAACTGTAAATATCGAATAAATCGCGTAAAACCGGAGTATCGTTTACATTTTTTTGTTCTTTTTAAAAGCGTCTTTATGACCCTCGAATATACGGTAATAAAGCGTCGTCGCTCTGTTTACCGCAAGAAGAAAAAAGTGCAGCGCGAGTTAGAAATCGACACGGGGGCTGGAATATTTGTTTTCGTCACCTTCTGGTCGAAACGAATCTATCATCGGGTATCCGCAAGAATCCGATGACTCACATCGGAGAAGGTGGAATGACTCAGGAATTCCTACGTCGGATGGTGAAGGTAAAAATCAACACCCGAAAATAAAAAAGAGGATCGATAGAAGAACGAATGGAGTTGAAGTGGTCGGATAGAAAAATTTGGGGCGCAAAAATTCTCGACTCTCAGATTGTTATCTTGTCAACTTTTGTGCCAGCCGGGCGCCATCGAAAATTAATCGAAATTTTTTGGGCGGCGAACGCTGGCCAAAAATCGAGGAAGGTGTCCGAAGACCGAATGCGGTTTTTTTATTGTTTGAAAAAAATTGAAGAAAAAAGACGAATTGAAGGCGTCGGAAACCAGGAAATTTAAAGATTCTGGAGTGTTTAATGAAGAAAAATCCCTCAAACTTTTTTCGGAAATGAGAAAAAAACGAGAAATGACAAAGCTGGAAAATGATTTCTCGAAAAAAAAAGGAAAGACAAGAAAACCATTTAAATATTTCGCGCCGAGACAAAAAAAATTTGGGCAGGAGGAAAAGGTCCAGGATTTTTTTTTCCCAATTTTCTCGTTTTGAATGTCTAATTTCTAAACAATTGGAATAATTTCAATAAAAAATATCGCCCAATTGATCTGATCCAAGACTTGACTTGAGAAAATCCAATTGGGAGAAAAAATTTCTTTTTTCTGTCTAACATTGAACAACAAATTTAGAAAATTCGACATATCTTTAAAAAAAACTGGGCAATCACGGCTAGATGATAATTAGCAAATTATTTCGTTTAAAGACCCGAATATCAAATGATTAAACACAAAGGCAAGATCCTTTAAAATTCGAAAATCAAAGCTCAACCATCTCGAAACAAAAAAAAGTGGTATCAATGGCGGCAAAATCGTTTTCAAGTACACTCAAGTGCAAATAACTCAATCAATCGATCGGCGAATGAATGAAATAAACTCCAAAAATAACACTAGTGGTCTTATTTATGTAACAACAAGCCGTAAAAACGACGTCGCTTTGCATTTATTATGACATTGGCTGAGTAGAAATGGGACCACGCTAAAAAAACACACACACACAAACAAACAATCGTTTGGGACCAAAAAAGGGAATGGGGGAAAAGAATCTCGTCTCATTCACCTTTCATTGCAATTTGCCTTTCGACACAACCACAAGCGAGCCTCGCCATCAATCAAAAACGAGGCGAACGCCGAGAGCCGTGTTCGGATTTCGCGCGCGGCGGCGGGCGGCGTAACCCAATCCCACGACGACTAAGCTGCTGCCACCGCCGACGATGGGAACGCGCGGCGCAAGTCATCCCAACTATTCTTGGAGCATTTAGTAATTTGATCTCATCATCGGACGCCCCACTCCCCCTTCTCCATGTCCAAAATTATTGCGCCATTCGCGGAAAGCGTGTTCGAAATTCGAGAACACCCCCCTCAACGTTAGCGCTCGTCAAGAATATCCGCCGAGATCGAAGTGTACATGAGAATGTGTCTCGTTAAAGAAAAACGTTGGCGGAAATTAAAGCGGCTAATTTCAGGAAGCGAAAATGCAGAATTTCGAGCCTACTGTTTTTAGAGCCCAAAATTACACATTTCAAATTATTGTCGGCGTTGTGCCAAAATTGACTAAAAAAACAATGGCAGCGGTCTTGGCCCGAAACTGAAGGTGTAGATTTACTGGCCGACGAATAAGGATAGATTAAAGGCGCACACCGCGCACCGAGATCTCGTTTTAAATTTTTTGGAAATTAATCAATTTTTCGCAATCGCGCGACGTCGACAATACATATTTAACAAAAAAAAAATCCAATTTTCAATCAAAAATTTAATGAGACCGATTACTTTTTTTCGCAATTAAAGTGTGTTTTATAAAGAAAACTTGGCCGATATCTCAATTCTTCCGCAATATTAGCACGATTTCAAAGCAAGATAATTATCAAAAAAACAAGTTTAGGCGCCTTAAAATGTGTGAAACAAGCGAAAAACGAAGATTTATGGTATAGAAATTGATTAGAGGCATTGAATTTTTCGAAATTTTGGGATTATTCGCTCAAAAATCTGTAATCCAAGTCATATTTTTAAACTTTCGTAGAACAAAAAAAACTAGACACGGAAAATGCATTTTTTCGTGCCAAATTCTCAAATAACACAACAAAAACGATAAGAAAATGGTATGACGAGAAGAGAAGAAAAATTTCAAACAAGAAAATTGAGAAAATTGGGTGAACGATGAAAAATGTGCACCGATCAGTATCGATAATCATCAAAAAATCAATACGATTGGCACAGGGAAAAAAATCAGCAAAAAAAATTCGGACGACAAGAGGAAGAGAGGGAGAAAGAGGAGGGGAAGAGGACAACAAAGAAGAAAATGGATTGGGTGGGAAAAAAATTGAGCGGCGATTGGGAAGCGCAGACGGTTCGCGACGGGGACGAACAACCCGGAATGACTCATCGGGACACACACACACACACACACACACACAAATAGCAGTGGTATTGTGAAATGTCGCGCGGCGACGTGAAAAGATGACGGAAGACGAAGGAGGAGGGAAAAAATTGGAAAAAAAAAACACCGACAACATTTCATTTTGGTGAAATGATTCCCCCCATATATGGATAGGTAGGAATGAGTCAAGGACGAAAACACTTCACTCGACGTCTTTGTTTCACTTCCAAGCAAATTTATGCCCGAAATTGGGATTTCGCAAGTAGAATAATGGCAATTTGGCTTAAAAGCTTCGAAAACCATTTGTTTGGCGATAAAATGGAAACCAATTGTCAGTTTTCGGCATTAGTATAAAACAATTTCATTTTTTTAACGAAGAAATATTTTTTTTTGGGAAAAATGTGCCCAAAATTTTTGATTTAACTAATAAAAAGGTTACGAAAAAAATCGCGATCACTTTTCTCAAAGAATGATAAGAAAACCGGGCAGAGAGAAATTTGAGTGGCTAAAATTTAGAAGGTCCATTTCTCAATGACTAAAATTTAGAATTTTTCTAAACATACTCAATGCAACAAAAAAATCTCTTTTACTATGCAATAATATCGTTTTTCTAAGAATTTTCCCTAGCAAAAATCAATTGTAAGCAACCATTAAGCTATATCTATATATCAGAGCTCAATCGATAGAATCCAAATGCAGACGGTTTCCAAGGACCTCAGTGTTTGTTTAAAATCAAGTCAAAGATCATTATTTTCTCGAAAAACGTCGTTTTTCCACTCAAAAAATCGAATTTTTAAGCGTTTCCTCGTAAAAATGACTTCCTTTTTGCGATGAGAAATTCACAAAAATTCAGCACAACGATGGCAAAGTACAATCATAAAATTAAGCAAATAACATTGAATTTGCTCAAGACGTACCAAAACTTGATTTTCAAAGGGAGATGCAAAAATCAATGGTGGCGCGGAGAATGACAATCAAAGAAAAAAATGAAAATGAAAAATTTGCGCGTATAAAAGTCAAAGAAAACATTGTTGAGCAAATGGAAATATCGAAATTATTGTGTGCGACGCGTCGAAAACACACAATAAAAACGAAAAATGATGGTTTTTTGGAGTCGTTTAGCATAAACCATCAACAACAACAAAAGAAAAGTCGGTTTTCTGCTCTCGCCATAAAACTGTATAATGTGCACCAAAAAACGAGCAAAAATGGTGTAGATGGGCGGCGGGACGAGCAAAATTTTGCGATTCGTTTAAAATTGGCTAATTGATGTATGAAGGCAGCAAATTGGTGCCACGAAAACTGAACATAGTAGAGTGAAAAAGAATGGGAGAACGAGCGAGCGAGCGCGTTGCGCGCGCACACACACACACACGCTGGTGGCTGTCCGACGATGACCAGTGCAATTGAAATGTGCCGTGCTGGACCAGCGAAATGAACCGAACGCGACAGGCCGGATCGAGGGATTTGAGCGCGCAGAGAAGCCAAAGTGTCGAATGCATAGCGGCGAAACTCGACGACGCCAAATGATAATTCGCGAACGCCAAACGCTCGAGACGAGAAATTTTTGGGGCGTCAATTCGATTCCGACAATTTGTCACACGATTATCACTTCGTAATCAGTGATGACTCGTTGATTGGCGTTACGCACGTCCGAGAGGGCAGCAAAATAGTTAAAGACTAGGCGAGAGGTGTCAGTTTGATTCTCTCCTACGACAGATGGTGGTGGTCAGCCTTTTGAAATGGCGGCTTATGGGGAAGATTTGTCAAGGAACCCAAATTTGGATTTTTTTTTCGTCTTGATTTTACTATTCTCTGAAACTAGGAAATGGTTCGGAATATTGAAAGTACCTTTTTTCATTTTTCCCAATTGCGGAGTATAAATAAAATTTGATTATTCTCTTTTTTAAAAGAAAGTATATCAAATTTTTATAGCATGAAATAAAATTGGATTCTTGGGTAATCGAAATAATTCGTATGGCAGGTGATAACTAGGGATATGTAAGCAAAAAAAAATTAAATGGAGCCAATAACCATACATTGCAAAACGAAAAATTGATCACTAGGTAACAATGTTTGCTTTTGATTGCAACACATCATGGCTATTAAACACGCAATTCGGCGGCGGCGTGTTCGGCTTTTCGAACAAGCACGCGAAAAAGATACATTCGACGACAAAAGAGTACTCGAGATTATGCGAAAAGAGCGCATGCAAAAGACACAACGTCGGCCAGTTTTGTACCGTCCTGCGACATTCCTGCACCGGCAAATATCGGGCCAACCGGCTGAAGAAATGAAATACAATTCAAAAAAAAAGAATAAAATATTCTTTTCGCTCTTTTTTTTGCTAGCTCCTCGCCGATGCCTACTAACGCAATTTATATTGCCAATGTCCCATTCGCACACAAAACGCCAGTTAATAGTTTATCGAAATTGCGGACATCTGCATTTCGCCAAATGTGCCGATGATTGGGCCGTCACGTCGCATCGCGAGGCTGCTTTTATTGAGACGGATTGGCTTTTGTTGAGAGATTTTCGACTATTAAATGATATAATGAGTTACAACAGCGCAACATTTTGACGACGCTCGCACAACGTTAGTATTCGGGAAATGTCGCGCGCGCGATTTTATTTCGTTTCAAACTCGATTTTATCTTGATTTCGCTCGAACGTACTTGAGATTTGCAATTTTGCGAGCATTATTAGCGCGGAAAAGCGAGAAAAACAAGAAAATCAAGAAGAAATATGAAAAACAAAAAATTTGAACTGGTCCGCATTTTTGCGTATGTGCGTACACCCAAAACACCATACTCAACGACAAATTATTTTTGTTTTTACATTTTAGATCGAAAAATTTTTACCAAAGCGATTTTCTCAACAAAATTGACCTATTATGGGTTTTCAAGGTTTGAGGAAACAATTTTAAATGCTTTATTGCCTTTTCAGAGTAGTAATTTCCGTAAAATCCAAAGAAACTATACCGAATTGTACGTGTGAATCGAAATTTTTCCACGTCGAACAGGTGGCCGTCCTCCGTCTCAGCTTTTTCTATCTGATCTGAGGGGCAGGTCCCGTCACGATTTTGATCGTATCTTATGTCGTATTTTGCACTTCATTCACTTCCAAATTTCGTCGAAGCCATGGTTCTCACTTCAGAACAGAAGCAATCGATTCGTCGAATTATTGATTCAATTGACGCTGCCGATGAAGACTACTGTGCTCATGAGTTCAATGTGCTTCGTTGGCTCGTCGCGTACGGCAACGACGAACAGGAAGCAGCCAAGGTTGTTATTGTTGTTCCTTCGTCCGGTGTGCGTGCATGTGTCTATGTGTGTTCGTCTTATGCGGAGAGGGGGGAGGGGGGGTCCTACTGCACTCTGCCCAACCATATCACTGCGAATAGTAGTGCGTGAAAATGTGGCCGCGTGGCCTAATGGACAAGGCACCAGACTTCGGATCTGGGGATTGTAGGTTCGAGTCCTGCCGTGGTCGTAATCTTTTTTGCATTTATTTCAAACTATTTCAGGCGCTCAAACGCCATCTAAACATCCGAAAAACCATCGATCTTGACAATTTTGTGCACAGGAAGGATTTGGAAGAAGACGAGCTCAATAACTACGTGCCTATCGATGTTATCGGGCAGAATCATCCAGAAGACAATAAGATTTTCATGTTTGAGAAGACGGGAAAAATCGATATCAGCGGCCTAGTTGATAATGTGTTGGTAAGAGAAAACGAGAGCAGCATGAAACAAGCGAAATGTTGAGATGCACAAATTCATGCAAATCAAACTAAAAATGATGGAAGACGTCCATCAAAAAGTGGTGGCCGCCGAGCGGCGAAGCGGAAAACAAAGCGGCGGAGTGTTCGTGATGGATTTGCGCGAGTTGAGCTTCAGCGCCAAACTCATTTCGGTGCTGACGGGTACGCATTTTATAGGGACCATCGAGCAGCAACGTTTTTGCAGGACCATATCGAATAATGTGGGGCACTTTGTTCGACCACTACCCGCAACTTTTGCAGAAAATCATCATCGTAAATGCGCCATCTTTCGTGAATGTCCTTCATCAAGCATGTTCGCCGTTTCTACCGGCCGATTACCGGGTAATAATTGAACGCAATTCATCATCCTGACAAAATTGTGCCACTTTTTGTAAAGAAAAACGAAAGAGGCTACAATTTGAAAATGGTTTTAACCAGATTTTTCCTTCCAAAATCTACAGTGCGCCCCCAAATTTAGGAGTTTCGAAAAAAACATATAAATTTGTGAAAAATCAATTTCATTTTCGAATTCAGGACCATTGAAAACCTATACACGCGTATTTTCGTGAGGGTCCGTTGGTCCGTATACGCACAGTCCAAAAAAAGTTGCATTTTCAAGCGCGTCATAATGATATATTCGGCATTTTTTGAACGACAAAGTCTTTCAAAGGCCCGATTTCAAGCCAAGATTAAAAACATGCAAAAATGCCAAATGGAAAGACAAAAAATAGGAGGTGGCGTATCATTATGACGCGCTTGAAAATGCAACTTTTTTGGACTGTGCAGATATGGACCCTCATGAAAGTATACGTGTATAGGTTTTCAATGGTCCTGAATTCGAAAATGAAATTTCCTTGTCACCAATTTATATTGTTTTATTGAAACTGCTAAATTTGGGGGGGGGGTGGCGTATCATTATATAACATTCTAAATTTCGTTCAAAAGCCCTCACAGAAAGTCGCACTGATAACCATCTTCTCATCAATTAGTTTTTGTTTTCTTGTAGGAGAAAATCGTGATCACGTCGGAATGTGCGGAGGAGACCATCAAAAAGTATGTTCATCGTTCGATGCTTCCAGCCGATCTTGGCGGCGATCTTATTCATAATATCTCGACACCATTGACGCCATTTCCCAAAACGACGTCGCCGAAAATTGACATGGTGCCGGTCAATATTCCAGCAGGTTTTTTTTGAGCCAAGAAAATTGAAGAATGTTGGTTGCAGGAAAATATACAATTCAGAAATTTGAGTGGAAATCCGGCGATGAGATCGAATTCTTTTTGCATAATGATAGCTCTTTTCATTATTTCATGTTTCATAGTGAAGAAGACACGGTAATTAACTGCAATTAAAAAATTATTTCGAAAAAAAAACTAAACTGTGGGCATTTTAGACCGATTCTGAGAAGTGGAGAGAAATGACGGTTGGCTGCGAACGTCCAGCGTTGTGCAAAATCGATTCGTGGAAATGGAGGGTCCCGTGTGACGGGTACAATTTTTTTCAGCTTTTCTTTCTCTCTTATTATCGACTTTTTCATTTTAGATTCTTCTATATTCGCTATGGCAACCATAATTCTTGGTATTTCTCGGTGACCGTCAACACAAATCATTTCCTTCATACGGAAAATGAGAAAATCGCTTTGAAACCAATTGAAACTTTTGTTTTATGAAAAAAAAATAGCATGGCCGATGATTATCACAGTTAGATTTTCAATAAATTATTATAAAGCAATTTTTGAATTTTTACTTTTCCTTTTTTGTTTCCTCACCACCAGCGGAGCAGCACGGCTTCTCAGATTCTGAAAATATATTGCATTTTGCCCAATTTTAAGCTTTTAAAACCTGTCTCTTTATTCACCGAAGATTCTGGAACCTGTACAGGACATGTTGGGTACAATATCGGATCAAGAAGGTGAACGATGCGGTCAGGAAGGATTCTGAAACATCTAGTTAAGGCAAATTGATATTCTAGCCGAATTTACCTGTATACATATGGCTGGATAAACTTGAGATAAATGAACATTAAAACCGGTAGGAAAATACAAGGAAGGCAGACCATTTTATCGCTGAAAATCGAAAAATTTGGAGGTTTTACTGGAATAAAATGAAATGTGCGGTAGAGCGCACTTGCCTCCTTATGGATGCTTATGATGAAACTGTGTATTGAGATGGCTTATAAGCACTGTAAAGCAACGTATTTATCAGCGTGGCTTTATTTAATTGGGTAAAGTGTAAAATCATTATTTTTATTCGCCTTATGGCCTAGTTTCCTTGATGGTCGCGAAATTTGGAAAATTGTTCGGCCGTCTCAAATTGACAAGGAATCTGATCGAATCGAATTTTTGCATGAATAAACCAGTGTTAACAGGTTTTTGTAGTTTCTGGAACGAATTAAAGCTTCCTGGATTACATCGATGTCGTTGGAAAAAGAAATCTCTGAAACGAAGTCTCGCAAAAAAATCCGGTTACTAAATGTGACGAAAAAAATTTTTTTTAACAGTATCGGTTTGAAATATTTATTTAAGGAATTGTGAGTCACGCATGTCAATGCCATAAAATGTCCGCAGATGGGACTTTGCAAAAAATTTTTTAAAACTAGAATAGAAAAAAAATAGAATAATAAAAATTATTAAAAAACGATTTTCAATATTTTCCTCTTAAAATACTTTGTTAAAAATATCGCCTGCTCCTTGAAATAAGAATTGAATTAAATCACAGAATCGCCTGAATATTTTTTTGCAATTTTCAAATCGGTCTCACAACGAATAAATTTCCCTCTCTCGAAAATAAAAAAAGATGTGGCGTCGCATAAAATTCGAGTCTAAAAAATTTTTTATGATTTATTTACACATTCCAGCCGATTTTTTTTTCCAAGCCAACACAACAAACGATTTAAACAAGTTAAATAGAATCGCTGGCCTCGTACCATCGCCCAATCATTTATATTACAACAGCGAACGTGCGCGACGACGACGGCGGCGGCTGCGATGAGCTCCAACCGCCCATTCTTTTCAATTCGTCCTTCCATCTGACTCATCCATTCTTATCAATTTGTTTTGTCGCTTTTGTGTGTCATCTACTTGTTCCAAAAATAATTTTAGCAGACCAACAAAATTCGCGGGTGCCCCGCCCACGCGTGTTCGCCCTGTTGGCAGCTAATATGTCAATTCGCATCAAATCAAATACCTCCTCATCGCCCTCAGTGATTGCCTTCCATATATGGCGAAAACCGCGCATTCCTTAATTAATACATACTTTTTATCAGTCGACTTTCGCCCCCGCCCCGGCCTGGCCCGCTTTCTATATATTATGCATTATCCGTGTATCAGTTTCGCGCCGAGACTTGCTTTGCATATTCGCGATAATTATCGCATTCTTTCAAATGCGATCTCAAATCGTCTCAACTTGTTGCTTCCCGTACTTTCATCTTCAATTCATAAGAAGAATGATTATCATTATCTATTTCGATTGGTCTCGTCGCGATTGATGACGTAATCGATCAGTTTACAGCAAACTGCAAAATGTATTCCCTTATATGGGGAAGCATTTTTAATTTATTTCTTTTTAAAACTCATAATTTTTTGAATTTTCGTGTGATATTTACGTCACGGTGTTTGCACACATTCCCCCTGTGCTACAGTATTCCAAAAATTTCTGTTTTATTTTTTGAAAAAAAGCGACTAAATTTGGAGCTAATCTGAAATTTTCAAATTTTACTTTTTTTTAGCATTAAACCGCTCGACTATTAATACTTTTTCAGCGATTTGGCTTGTCGCAATTTTCAGCCTTCATGAGAATTCAGTTGATTTCAAATAAATGCGGGTTTCGAAGAAAAACGCGCAGCATTTAATCAAGGCTTCAAAAAAAAAATAGAATAAATGAGAGCTTCTAGAAGCCCCCAATTTATTTTCTCTTGAAGTGAGAAGAAGCTGAGACGTCAAAATTCCGATGAATTTGAGATACTAGGGACCAAGAGGTCCAATTTGCACAAACGCGACCTCGTTCGATAATGGGTCAAACCGGCAACATTCGCGGTCAAATTGCCTTAAGACCGGTATTCAAATTGTCTTGAGAATTAGCAATTTCCTTATTTGTCGCGCCCTCGATTCCAACATACGATAAATCGACGACGGCGACTTACAAGTTAATTGGGTTAGCCAATTTTCTATTCTGATCGATTCGCTGATTTCCATAAAAAGGCATTCATCCATCGTTTTTTTTCTCGCCTGATTTTCTCAAGCTTTATGTCGCCATAAAAAATGCGCCAAAATTTTCGATTTATTCTCTCACTCGCGTTTTTTTCCACCAAAAGGTACGCATTTGAAAGGTATTAATGCGAAAAACAAACGAAAACTCGCCTCTTTTCAAAATCGTTTAAATACTGTTTTTTTTTGCCTCTCGGCGTGTCGAGACCCCAATGATTCATTTTTCAAAATCTCGCAATTATTTGCCAAAATTTCAAATTTGCTGTTAAAGGAGCACGCGCTATCATTTTTTTAAATTCTGTTTTTTTTCGCTCTAAATCGAGAATTGAGGCAATTTAAAGGGGTCCGAACTTTTAAAGGTGCATGAAGGTCTTGAAGCGAAGCATTCAATAAATGATTGTTTTCGCTGGGGAAATCATTTAGTTTTTCATCGTCGGATCAAAAAATTAAATTTCCCAAAAGAAAAAGTTCGTCCCCCTGCTTCTCCCTGCCGATTCCAATTGATTGGTTGTGCCCAATTATTTTCGGCTCATTTTCTGCTCATCCTGGCCGATTTCGCTCCGTCATCTCTGTTTCCATCCAACTCATTTTTTTTTGTCGTACGCTGAAGCTTCGTCGGAGCGCCTTCTTGATTTTCGACAAAAGTGTAAAGAGGCGCGACGAGAGAGCACACTGATCGCAGAGACGCTAGACAATTGTAGACCGATGAGGTGTAGGGGGGGGGGGATTTCAGTGCCCACGGGTGGCTTTTGGCATCCACACTATACATCAACGAGATCGAAAAACGTCCGCGCGTTTTTCCATCACCTACTCGACATCCTACAGTAATCCTCCGATTCCAATTATGAGCTACCTCTCGCCGCTGCCTCACTACACAACTCCAAGGTGTCGTTTTTTTTCTTTCCAGCGATTGCCTTCTTCCTCATCATTTTTTCTTCATTTCCCCCCTAGCTCCCCGCTCGCCAAATCGTTTCTGTTTTTCAGTCTTCGTCGCACACGCTCGTTCTCGTCGTTGTACGCGCCGGAATTGGATTACTCGGAAGGATCATGGGACCCCCGCCTCCACCTCCGCCACCCCCTGTACTCACAGCCGTAAGTTGTTTGGCAAACAACCAATCCGAACTGAAAATTCGAACCGAACCCGCTAATTATGGCAAATATACGGTATAATTACCATGGTAATTATAATTTAGAAGATATTTTTGGCGAATTCCTTTAAACTTCTTAATGTGCGTTGTATTGATAGCAAGCAAACCCGGAAAACACATCAGTATTACACTGATTCTCTTGGAATTGAGCAACTCCGATGAGTTTTTTAATAAGTGAAAAAAATGGATGAGAAAATGGAACTCTAATTTAAAAAAAAAAAAAACTTGGTTAGTCGACAATTTTAGAATTTTTAATTTTTTTGAAATAGAAAAAATATTTTTTTAAATATTTTTATTTAGCCAATGCATAATTTTATTTCAGTCTTGGTAAATATTATTTATTATCAATTAATTTAATATTGGAAGAAATTTTTCGGAAGAAGCTGAACATTTCAGTTTAACTTCTGAGAGTTTGCGTCATTTATGGTGCCAACGTCCGTAATTTCCCGTTCAAAAAAAAATTGGATTTTTTTCGGCATTTTTTCAGTTTTTCTTTGAATTTTTTTGCTCTTCTGATATTCCAAATGTCTAATTCAACTCTTTTCGCATTTTTTTTCTCGTTTACTCAACAAATATAACTCAGTTTTAGATATATTCATGGAATCACTGGCATATAATAAGAAATATTGGTTGAAAAATGCTTGAGATTTTTATAAATAAAATTCAAGGAGTTGGAAGTTGGAAACTCAGAGATCTCTTTCGAAAACGTATTCTTCTCAATTTTCAGCCAACGATACTTCCATCTCGCAAATGGAAGACAGAGGATGCACCGAGACGTAACAACAATCCCCCACCTGGTAAGCTTCATATCATTTTTCCAAAATCTTGACACAACAAAAAAATGGTCTCTGTGCAATATATTTTATGGGGGGGGGGCCAGCACATGTTTTCATTTTTCATTTTGTTATCCTCCTATCCCGCTTTTTTTTGCTTCGAAAAATACAAAAATATCGATTGAATGGGTGAGTTTTGCTCGAAAAAAAGAAATGAAATGCAAATTTTCAGCGCCGCCCAAGCCCACCCGTCCCACAATGGACGCTGCGGCATTACAGGTACGAAAATTGGGCAACCAACAACAACAACAGCGAAAAAAAAAAATGAATGTGTGTGGGGAATTTCAGCACGCTGCCGCTCGTCTGCGCAAGACCGGCTACAACGAACCGGTACGAAGTGACATCGAGAGTTTATCCGATGGACGAGTGGACCGATCGGATCAACGAGTGCCTCACCGAAATTGGACGCACGGCGCGCAGCATGAACAACTTCAACGCAATTCGCCCAGAGAGACGGTAATTTGCAAAAATGAATGATTTTCCCAAAGAAAATGACCATATTGTTATTTTCGGCCTTAGAATATAGAATAAAGCGCATTTTGCCCGAAATTAAAATTGGAAAAATTATTTATAGATAAGCTTTTCCTCAAAAAAAAAATTGGGAGTGATTTGAATTAATTCTATGAAGAATTTGGGAATGCAAGTTGCGAAAAAACTACTTTTATCCAAATTTTCTGCGTTTCTTTTTTCAATTCTAAATGTAAAAAAGAGATTTGCAAAATGGCAATAAACATTCAAAAAATTTGTTCTAGGTTTATGCTTCGTCCACTCGTGCCTACGAGCCTAATCCGATCAGCGACATTCATCGAAACCCCAATGCGTTGAATTATCAGGTAAGCGTTTTTCTTTTCACAAGTTCCTTCAAAAACGAATTCAGACCACCAGAGAGGCTCCCGTAGCGAATTATAGTTCTATTAATAAGTATCAATCATCTTCACCAACGCTTTCGAGCGACACCTACGTGTCGCCATATTCTACAAAATATTCATACCCGAAAAACGGCGACAATTTTCGATCCTATCATAAAGACGACGATTATTTCAAAAATAATACCACTTATAGCAACACCAATATTAATATTAATAATAATAATAATGTCAAGAAGAACAATGGGGTGACGGTTGTTGAATGGTCCGAGCCATACGATCCCAGGTAGGTTTTTTTTCCGGTTTTTGAGCTCATCGTCGAATTCAGCAATCTGCGTCCACAATCGCCAATTCGCAATCCGCGCGAGGTGATCCATGAGTACTCGACGACCAACTACGTGTTCGACGAGAAGCCGTCGATAATCGACAAGAAGAGAGCGCGCAATTTTGTGCAAAACTCGCTGGCGAAACAACTCCGCGACGAGAGTTTGACCGAATCGCAGCGCGCCGCGAATCGCTATCAAAAATCGCCGTCCGCTTCGTCATCATCGGCGAGCCTTCCATTCGACGTCTCCAAAATTGTCAAGGTAATTTAATTGTGAACATTAATAATATTGAAAGGGAGGGAGAAAGATTTCCTTATTTGTTGTGGAGGGGGGACAGGTTGTCTTATGTCCCTCTCGCCAAACCCCGCACATTCTCTTCCTTTTTGCTGCGGAACTCTCTTCACACAAGGAACCTTTTGAAAAAAAAAAAAGAAAGGTCCGTTGTCGACAAGAGAGGGGCCGGCAAGAATCGATTCTCGCAACATGCACACATATACACTTTTCGATTCCAATTCACCATGTGTATTTGTGTGTTTTTTGTGTTGTTTACACTCATTCCCTTTATCTTTTATTGTCGTTTTTTTATTCTTATTTATGATTGCAAAAAATTGTAAAAAAAAAACAACGCGGAGAGATTGAAAATCAACTATTTTCAATATTTGCTGAATCTTGAGATTTGATTTAAAAAAAAAGGTGTTGCGGACCATTTTCGATTGTTTCTCGCTTGCGCATTTTTAGGGACCATTAGAAGCTTCAAGCTTTTTGTGAAGTGCACTTCATCATTACAAAAAAAAAGAATAGAATTGCAGGACTCATACAACGGCGATGAGGTTGATCATCTGGTGCATCAGATGAGAAACAACCTCAACAACAACAACAATCACAAAAGCTACAGTAATCAGGATTACGGTAGTGTTGTACAGTATCCGAGAGGTTCGCCGGCCGCCGATATTCGCCAAACGAATTATACGACGCATTCGACGACGACGACAAGAAAAATCATGAATATCAGTAAGTGCTCTCTCTCTCGCTTTTTTTGTGTGTGTAGGTTCAAAAATGGCAGAAATTGACGAAAATTGAATTATGAAATTGTCCGCAGCTGCGTGTACATGCATAGATTTGGATTAAGCTGAACTCAAATCGTCGAAAAGGCGAAAATTCGGTTTGCTCTTCCACCCCCCCCCCTCCCAAATGTATATCGAAAAGAAAACCTCAAATTTTGGAAATATTTATGTATAGGCAGGATGGGAAAATAAACAAAATGTTGGTGTCGAAAAAAGTGGCGGCCAAAAAAAAAAGAAAGAAACGACACGTGACGACATTTCTAATTTTGGAATAAAGCGGACCTCTAAAAATTGATAGAAGCAAATTTTTTCCGGCAATCCGCATAGCGATTTTTTAAAGGCGCACTGAAATCATTGGAGGTTTTACTGGAACAACTAGTGAAACAAAAAAGAAAACAAATCGCAGTAATGATTCCATTGAGTTGAATTGGCGTCCGAACAGGTTCCTCACTAGCCTCCTCTGGTCAATCCATTAGCAATTACATTGGGCGACTGGTTCGATGTCGACCTTCAACCCACGCCCAGACCCCTTCTGAAGCTCGACTAGTTTGATATGCATATTTTCTGCTCTTCCCTTTTTTTTTGGAAATCGCAACACTACATCACACATTGACAGACATCCTGCCAACTCGTTATAAATTCATTGTTCTTCTTCTTTTTGTTGGGCTTCTGCCCTTCGTCTTCTTCTTCTTCTTCTTCTTCCTATTTTTTTTTCTTTTGTCCGCATCTCTCGAAAAAGTGCATCATTAGGATTTCCGCTAGTTTATGCGTTCCGTTCATCCAGTTTTTCTCTCCCCCCCCCTCACTTCTTCTTCGTTTTTCTGTTGTTGATGTGAGCTGCCGAGCATCTTCCGATCATCCAATCTCATTTGCCTCCATGAAAAGAGGAAATTATCGTGTCAAGAATTGTCGAGCAGCATTCAGACGTGTTTTTTTTTTTTGGCTCACCACAATCCAATTTTCTTTTGTAGCCTCCGGAATTGTGTGCTCGCTGAGAAAACCGGTTAGCTTTTCAAACGCACTCGATTGATTGTCGGCTGCGGACATGTCGCGGGTTAGATTCTTCCTATAATTAAGTCCGCTTATCATACATTAGAGGGTCGCAATGCAAAAAAGGCAAAATTTCAGTTGGCAAAGAATCGAAGCGTGTTCGCGTCGAGACCCATCGCATAAATAAACGGCATGCGTCTTAAAATACCGTATCTCTGCGTCGTTCTTTTTTATTTTTAGGAACTTTACTTATTTTTTTGATGAAATGTTTTCGTTTACGGTATTTTTAGACGCATGCTGTTTATTTATGCGATGGGTCTCGATGCGAATCCAACAAAATACGCTTCGATTCATTTTTTAAAATTTTTGTGTATTGATCCATCAAAAAAATTTTTTTTTAAATTTCCTATGCATTGCCCCATAAAAATGAAAGTCGATCAATTTGAAAGATTCGACTTGATGAGCACATCGTTCTGCGGACATTTTGCGGGAAGGCCGACATTTTCGATTCTGGTACAATATGATATTTTTTTTGTGTGCCGTTTTTCACCAACTCTCCGCATCGATTCGAAATCAATCACTAATCGCCAACCATCAAAACATAGAATGAGCAGCACAAACAGCGCGCGTACGCTGTCGTGCTGCAGCGCACAACAGTTGCCGGCCAACCGATTGTACAACCAACCACCTCGTCGTTCATTCGCCGAAATCGAAACCGTGGAAAAAAACACATGAGCGAAATGGGAATGGAAGAGTTCCACTTGAATCGAGCAATTCGCTCAATTTTTTTCGACTAGAAACCGGATAAGAATGTATTTTCTAGAATAAATTAGACGCTTGAATCCTAATTTGAATTCGCCTTGTGGATTCGAAATTTTATCAAAATCAAAGAAAGCTCAAAGTCGTTATAAAATTTTACGAAAAAAAAACAAAGTGAGAAAAAATTTGGGTTATGAATCGCGTTGCACAATTTTTTTTGATCACCTCAATCGAATTGTCAATCGGATCAATTTTTCCATCCATGATTAGTGCGTGCCAATGGGCGCGCTCGCTGGGGGATCCGCCCCGACCGTCGGCGGCGGGTCTCGCCGCTCTCGGTCTCTTCCATCGCACATCGTCGTTGCTTCCACGAGTCGGAGAGCGTTGCATTTTTTCCTTCTTCTTCTTCTTCATCTCTTTGCCACGATTTTGTTGCCGCGCTTAGTTTACCCTTATTTTCAAACATTTTTTTTGTTGTTGCTGTCGTTGCAATCCTCATCGTCTCCTTCTTCTTCTTCAATTTTTTTTTGTGGACTCCCAAAACAAGCCGATCTTCCATCGTCTTCTTAAGTTGGTGTTGTTGCTGTTGTTTGGTGTGGGCGTCACCCAATTTTCCTCTATTTCGCCCCGCCCACTTCTTTTTTTTATTTTTTTTTTGCTCGAGCTCTTGTCATTCTTGGTTTTCACGCTCTCTTTCTTTCTCTCTCCCCAGATTGTTCGCCTCGGGACCATCATCATCGCCATCGGCACGAGAACACCATAATGGCTGAACAAGAAGGTCTGTTTGCTCAATCAGTCGCCTCAGTGTGTACTTACTTGCATTCAATTCGATGCAGTATTTGCCCAATTGATACTGTTTGGTTTCAAAAGAAAAAAAAAATGCCTAGAAAACGAACAATTGTTTCTCATTTTTCGTTTTATTTTCGTTGTCTTTCGCTTCACCATAAGAAAACGACATATTTGATGAATCACTTTTGCCATTTTTGTGATGGAAATAAAACAGGAGGGAAGGAAAAAAAAACATTTTTGGAAGATGGCGGGGGGCGAGCAAAAACTAATCCATGTTTGAAGGCAAACATAAATTTTTGGGGGGTACTTTTTTTGTCAAAACACATGTATATATATGCGATTTTTGCAGACATTTGCGTTGGTTGCGGCAAAGAGATCACCGCCGATCAGCCGGGATGCAACGCCATGAATCAGGTGGGTGTGCGTGTTGATCGAGTGCCTGTTGTTGCTTGTTATTTTTTTTGTTCTATGACGAAACAACGTGACTGTGTTGTGGAAATTTGAGGAGAATGAGAAGATAAAAGGTCACTCGAAGTGAGACCTACCCACACACAAAAATAATAAATTTTTTGATGATGACAACAAAAAAAATTGGGGGTTTTTGTGGGGAGACACAAAAAAACGGGCATAATAATCGCCTCGGGAACACTTTTATGAATGTCGCATGACGAATGCGACATTCCAAAAAAAAACATTTTTTTTTGATTGATTTGAGCAACTCAACGAACTCAATTTCTTTTTTTTGCAGATATTCCACGTGGATTGCTTCAAATGCGGACGATGCTCGAAAACGCTGGCGGGCTCGTCGTTCTACAACATCGATGAGAAGCCGACGTGCGAGAGCTGCTATCAGGTATGTGTGTGCACAATTTCAAACCAAAAAACAGAAGGCGTCTCTTTTTGGTTTTTTTTTTCGCGTTGACCTTTTATGGTGGAAACGAGCGACATTTATTTTTCGAGTGGATGCGCCCCAACCTTGGCGCCACTCAATCACACTATAGTCTCAGGAGGATATTTTTTTTCCTCTTTCGTTTCGGTTTTGAAGACGCGAGAAAAAAAACGAGAGTAAATCGCGTTGTCGAGATATATGGGCTCGAAGAATTTGCGCGGCCAACGAACCAATGATCTTTTGGCACAGAAAATGGCAATCCGAGGGTGGCTGGAATCACGTAGGCGACGATTTGATCTGCGGACAACTTGCAACTTGATTTTCTCTAATGCTGACAAGTCACGCATTCCCTTCTTAATTGTTATTAAATTCGAGCAACTCGGCGATGGTTTTTTTTCTCGTATCTGCGGACAAGTTACGGGATGTGCAATCAGCGCGGCATTGTTCCAGAGCATCAAAATCGCAAATCAGATTTCAAAATTTTTTTCGTCGGCTGTCCTTTCTCTTCGTCGATTTGTCTTTTCCAAGAAATTCTTTGGGGAGTTTCCAAAAAAAGAAAAAGAAAAAAATGGAGCATGAACTGGGGAGCACCTCGCGCGAGGAAACACACCATTTTTTCACGCTCAATTTTCATTTTTCGGCCCCCCCCCCTCCAGCTTCTTCGATCTCGTCCTCTTCACGACACCAGTTGAGAACTAGCGGAAAGATTCAGAAACCAAACCGCCATTGATGACGACGAACTTCCTTCGAGAAGCTCAAAAACAAAATTGGTTTTGTTGCTCGTTTTTTATGCGACATCGAATAAAATGATATTACGAGCGCGTGCCGTGGAATGTTGCGGCGGAGGGTATCGATTTTCTTTTTTGACAAGCTTCTTCCTGGTTTGACAGGGGAAAAGGTGACAAAGTGAGAAGGCAAGGGGTGGAGAAAAAGAAATGATGAGATTTGGATAATCGATTTGAATCAGGGGGCAATCGGAAATTTCGGCAATTTGCCGGAAATCAAAATTTCGGCTATACAATGTTTTCAACGATAATTCGAAATATAAATATCGAATTTTCACGGTATCCCAAATTATTCGATGGACATTGATTTTTGTTTCGCCGACTTTTTTTTTCCGAAAATCGGCAATTCCATTGGAGGCCTGATTTGAATGGTTTTGCAGGACACATTGGAGAAGTGCACCGCTTGCCACAACGCGATCAACGACAAATTGTTGCGCGCGTGCGGCGGCACGTACCACGTGAATTGTTTCGTGTGCGTCTCGTGCAAGAAGAGCCTCGACGGTGTGCCGTTCACACTCGACAAGGAGAACAGCGTGCACTGTGTGCCGTGCTTCCATGAGTGAGCGGTGCGATGAACCATAATCGATTCCATTATTCTGATTTGCAGCAAATTCGCGCCGCGCTGCGCGATGTGCAGCAAGCCGATCATTCCCGTCGATGGCGAGAAAGAGTCGGTTCGTGTCGTCGCGATGGACAAATCGTTTCACGTCGATTGCTACAAATGCGAGGATTGCGGACTGCAGCTGTCTTCCAAGGTTGGTCCCCCATCCTGCGGTGGTCCATCCGAATGGGATTCGATTGATTTCAGCTTGACGGCCATGGATGCTATCCGATCGATCAGCACCTCTTGTGCAAGACGTGCAACGGCAATCGTCTTCGCGTCATGAGCTCCTCCTAAATTCGTAGTCCGCGTTTGTGTAGATGTCAGAATAAGAAAGCAACCCGCGCCCAACTGCCATTCAAATTTAAAAAGACAATATTATTATTATTATTATTATTATTACTATACCATATATTATATATATGCCGTTCCACCAAATCGTCGCTTCTTTTTCGTCGTTTTTCATATATTTTATATATTTTTTTCCACTCTATCCGCACGCATTTATTTTTTGACACAATAAAAAAAGAGCCTCTCCATTTTTTCTTTCGTTCGCCTCCTTCGTTCGTAATTGCAAAATTTCCCATTAAATTCGTGCGGTGGGAGGGGGGAGGCGGATTCGAGGCAATTCGAATGAGAACATTTCGTATTGTATAACATGCAGCCGATCGTCGTCGTTTGCCTTCTCGTCGCCATTTCGACCGTACTCAGCCAGGTATTTTCCATTTTCGGGTTTCGACGCGTCCCGTCACGACGAACACGAGTTACAGTACGACATGCAAAAGTGCGAATACACCAAGTGTCATAGTATGTTGACGAAAGGCAAATGTCGACCGCATACGTATCTCGTGCAATGGGACTATTGCGATTATTCGACGTTTCTCACCAAAAAGGAGTTGTGCTGTGAGGCAAAGGTACGGTAGAATTTAGTCGGTGTGCAACATTGCGTGGCGGTGTACACGCGAGACACGCGTCATGGTGTACTCGTGGCGTAAATCGATGACCGCAAATTTTTTTTGTGCATTTTCGCGTCATGGTGTACCTGCACAATTCCCCCCATATGATATTGTAGAAATCGCGCGCGAATGTGGATAGAGAGGTGTACTGTAGAGTTAGGGTCCCGCCTAGATGAGCGGGGTCGATTTACGCGCGTACACAATTCTTAATCGGCAATCACTGTGACGCCCCGATTTGGTGCATTTTCGCGTCACGGTGAACTTGGTGAACAACCAAAAACAACCCCCAGCAACATCGGGCTTGCAATGTCGTTGGACGCGTTGCGGTTGCGCGTGCGGCATACCGCCGCGAGCGCGAACCGCGACGCGCTCGATTTCTTTCGATTTTGCAGAAAGTCAAAAAATGCCGACGCACGGTGTGCCATTCGACGTTCGACAGCAACTTTTGCGCCGAGAACGAGTTCGTCAGCGAATGGGAGCGTTGCGGGCTGTTCTCGAAGAGCGAGCTGTGCTGCCGACTGCAATACGAGCAATGACCAATCATTTATTGTGGAACGTTGTGATTATTTCCAATGAAAAGCATTCAAGCGACATAAGAAAGAAGAAGAATTGCAATATCGAATCATCATGCCTTATAAGCGGGGTAGGGGGGGGGGTACGTTCAGACGCGGCCGGCGACCCAAGGAAGTTCGAGGCATCGGCTGCTTGTCGGCCGCAAGCTCACATCATAGGTCATCATCGCTTCGATCGATTCGATGCATTCTCGCGACAAATTCAATTTCGGCGAGAATGTGTATCGCCGGAATCTGCAAGCTCTCGCAAATAAATAATTGGCCGAAAAAGTTGGCCGAAAAAACGGTGGTGGTGGCCTAGAAAATTTTCGGCTCGGCCACGGCCACACTTGACGGAATTATGGGCAACTAAATGACTACTGTGTTTTCGAACTAAAAACAGCAAATATAAAAATTAATGGTACAATTTTGCCGAAATGAAGGGAAAAAATCGTGAATAGCAGTGTGCCGCACTTGCAGTTTTTCGCAGAATTCGTGTGCCGCACTTGCATTTTCCATTTTTTTCTAGGCCGCACCAGAATTTTCGGCAAATCGCCATATCATCAAATTCATTTTTAAGGCCAAACTGTCTACAGTAACAAAGTGTGTGCAAAGTGTCGTGAGATGTTGCGCATCGGTACGCAATGATTTCACAATTTTTGTTCGGCAATTTTGCTAGATAAATTCAATTTTTTTTTTCAAACCCAAAATTTTGAGAAACTTAAAAATGGCGCGAAATTAAAAAAAATTGTTTTTGTTGTCGACAAAATGGGTTCACATCGACACCACTCACTTCTGATACTCGACCATCACATTGTTCGGCAGCGATTCGTTGAACGGCATCGAATCGGTGACCATCACGAAGCCGACGACGCCCGCCGACCACACATCCGACAGAAACGGATCATAGGCTTTGCCGCGCAGCAACTCCGGCGCCGAGTAGGACTTGGAGCCGCAGAACGTCTCCGACAACTGATTGCCGTCCATCTGAAAATGCGAAGTCGCGATCATGTAACGCCGGAATGACCATACAAGTCGAACAAATCCGAAATCGGAGAGTTTGATGCAGTTATTGAACAAGATGATGTTCTCCAATTTCACGTCGCGATGAGCGATTCCATTCTGGAAATGTTGCCGATTCGATTTGGCGACGTGGCGCGACCTTCACCACCACCACCCCCTTCACCATACCATACCTGGTGCATATAGCAGAGCGCTTTGATCAATTGGCGCATGAAAACGCCGGCGGTTTTCTCCTCGATCGCCCCATTCTTTTGAACGTATCGAAGCTAGAAATCAATTTGATTTTCGTGAAGATTCAAAACAAAAAATTGTGATTCATAATTGTGTTTCTGTTTTTTTTAATGACACATTTTCGCTGATTCATTTTCCCCCGATAAAAGCGGCTTTTCAATGTCGTCAGACGCGTTGCGGTTCGCGTGCGCCTCCCAATTTTTTTTCAAAATTCTCTATATATATATGTTTGAACGTCAAGGTCTTGCAGCGAAAAATTCTGGAAAATATTAAATTTGAAAAAATACACATCATTTTGGAGAATCGCTATGATCCTTTAATTCACCATTTCTTCAGAAAATTGAAATTCTCAGAGTTTGTGTTTTTTCTAAAAATGATTAAGCGGGATTCTAGAAGCTTCAGAAGCCAGAGAAAATTGGGTGCTTTTTGGAATTTCAAACATTCTCATTTTCAAATTAAAGGCGCACTCCGAAATTTTTTCGGCACACGAGGGGTCCCGCAGCGAACAATTGTGCTCACCAAATCGCCTTGATTGCCGTATTCCATCGCCAAGAACAGCATCGACGATGTCTCATATTGGGCGTGCATCGCCACAATGTTGCCGTGTTTGAGCTTCCTCCAGCAGCTGATCTCGCGCGGCAAAAACTTTTTGCGAACATCGTCGCTGAGCTCGTTCAAATCGATCGCTTTGATCGCCACCTGAACGTGCCAAAATTGGTATTTCTCACGAATCCGCATTGCCGCCAAATAACAACAGTTCGATTTGTGTGAATCTCGTGCGCCTTGTACACCCGACTGTATTTGCCGTTGCCCAGTTTGAAGTCGATGAAAATCTCGATTCCCTTTTTCCGAAACGCCTCCTTGTAGTGCTCGATTTTGGGCTTTCTCGGCTTTTGAGGCGCCTGCAAGAAGACCAGAAATATCAAAAGACATCCTCCCGATCCGCGTGCGCTTCTACCACATTCTCTTTGTTGCTCTCGGCTCGCCGCTGATAGATCGAGCTCGTCTGACTCGGTATGACATACGAATTCTGTTGTGGTGCGCGCGCCGGCCGATATGTCTGCCGTTGAGGTGGCGTCGAGTAGTTCGAATGCCGACTATACAACGGCACCGATTGTGGGGTTCCTGATTCAAGAGAAAATAATTTCCATAAGGGGGGGGGTCTTACGCGGTGTCCTTAACAACGAGCGATGCTCGCCGACGGCACCGTGCGGACACGGGCTCGCGTACACATAGGAGGTGTCGTGATGTTGCTCGTCGCGACTTGTGCTCATTGCGCGATTTCGATTCAGAAAATGCCGATGCGACGACGTCAACGAACACGTGATAATTTTTTTTAATCATTATCATCATCATATAATATATAAATGCGTTCTGAGAGACTATGTGCAAGAGAGAGTATGCGGTGGAAGGAGACGCAGGCATAGCGGGATCGAGCCCGCGATCCTCCGATTATGAGTTCAAAATTTGCGCCACTGCGCTATTGCGCCGCGGCGCGCCAGCTATTAAACGGCTATAACATGATGACAAGTGCCAACGAGCGCAGAATCGAAAAAAATATTTTTTCAAAATTCCTGAAGGACTACTATAGAATCTCAAATATTATTTTTTTTAACTCTATTTGTACCGTAATCACCTCAACAAAAAAATTGGATGCATTTATTTGTCTACAAAATCAACTGCTCTCCTCGATTGCCGCCAATCGGATGATCGATGAGCCCGTCGAGCTCGCGCAATATCGCTCGCACTTCTTTCGGCGACGCGTGAAATTGTTTGGCGACACGCGAGGTGATCTCCGACACCGTAATGCATTGGCCGCCGATCGTCACCTCGACGTCGCGATTGCCTTTGAATCGACGGCCGAGATGATAGACCTAGAATCGGAAGAAACGATTGGCGTCGTCGAATTTGTTCGCACCGAATTCAAATAATTGTTGGAGACGTTGAAGAGAATCGTCGTCAGCATTATGCCGTACATCAGGTAGAGAAGGACGAGAACGAAATTTGGAATTGTTGCCGTATATGGGACCTTGTCGCCGAAGCCGACGGTGGCGAAGCTGATGAAGCTGGAAGAAAACGAATTGAAATTGGAGAAACGCCTAGTCGACCATTACCTAAAATAGACATCATCGAGCGAATAGGGTTTGCCGTTGTGCTTGATTGTGATGGTCCCGAATAGATAGGTGAAAAAGAACAGCGAGAAGATGGCGATTAATGGCATGTCGGCGTCACTTGCCAATTTTGTCTTGGCGCTTTTCTGAATGCACGATATTTCGAATTTCCGCCATTCTTTTTGTCATACCGATCCCAAAAACGAGTTCAACTTCCAATAGGATTTCGTCATGTATTTGCCGAAATTCGCCAATGTCACTAGCAATAGCGGAATTCCGATGATCGCGAAGAAAATCGTGAACAATTTCGCCGCGTCGGTTTTCGGACTCACGTTTCCATAGCCTTATTCATTGTGGAATTTGTTTTTTTTTTGTTGTGTTCATTCAATTTTCCTACCGATTGTCGAAATTGTGATAAATTCGAAAAACACGACTTCAGTGAATGGTAGAGCCGCTAGATCGGGATCGATGTAGCGAAAAATGAGAGCGCCGATGACCAAATGTGTTGTGAGAAGTAGAACGAGCAAAATTTGCGGTATGATGCGATACCAAATCTGCAAAAGACGTGTACCTCAGCCCAAAGTAATCGTCACAATCACTCGGAAGCAGAACTGGAAAGGTTTCTCATCACTAGTACGATGGCGCGGCACCGAGACCGCGACAATCAGCGCATGAGGGAGCGCGCGCGAACCACTTGGCCGCTCGTACGCTGCCACTCAAATGGGGTGGAGTGCATAGAAGTGAGTGCGGTTGGCGGCGGGCCAGCGGCGGGTCGCGTGTAAAAAATTTGAAACAACAACGCACCTGCGATGATTCCATTCCAAATATGGATATTCGCTGAAAATAGAAGATTTGTAAAAGAAATCGTATTAAAAAATCGATCGGATCTAATAAAAAGTCAATTGCGGACGAAAAAAATGTAAATAATTGAAGATTGAGGGAGAAAAGGATTTCAAATCAAATCAATCAATCAATCGATTATCAGAAAACCAGAAACGGAACGGAAATTCTCAAAACGAAAAAAAAAAAAAACGAAATTAGGGTTGAGGCGGGCGCGGGCGCGCAAGACAAAAGGGCAATGGGCGAGCGGGCGAGAGAGCGCTAGAATCGCGGAGGCGCAGAGAGACGAGACACATTCTGACAGTAGTGGTGGAGCATCAGCTAGAGGTCACGTGGGAATATTATTTCTCGAATTCAACAGTTGAATATCTCGAAGCGAACGATCTCGTTGATCGATCGACTGAATCGAAGGACACAAGAACCGGAACGATCAGCCGAATGTTTACCACACAAAACTCGGAATCGAAATTTTTATTTTGACGAAAAAAAAATGAGAGAGAGAAAGGCGATCTATAAAGTTCAATTGAGGCAATCAGTGGATTCGCCGGAGAATGAGCCGGCCAAATTGAGCTCGCCAATGTCGAATGTCTTGTCGGGATGCTCGCCGGCGGTGATGAAGCTCTTCGGGATCTTGATCTTCAGCTTCTTGTAGCATGGCTGAATTTAAGCTAGCATCGTTTTTGGAATGGACCAACGTACCCCTTTGTAGTTGCACTTGTGGTAGATGTTGACGTGCGGATCGATGGCGGTCAATTCCTTCTTGCTTCCCGACATGACGAACGAGCCGCGTCGATCGGTGGTTCGCTCATCGAGCAGTTTGTCGAGAACTACAACATGCCCCCCCATATATGGATATTGAATTATCGCTCACCGATCTCCTTCTCATAGAGTTTCACTTTGATATTTTCTGCCGGCGAACCATTGCACGTCACTTTGCCGGTGACCTTCACCGATTGCACACTTCCGATGAATGGAATCGCGGCGGTGGCGGCGACGAGAGCCGCGAGAATCAGCAACACTCCTCGCATTCTGAAACGATTGATGTTGAATCGATGAGACCAAATAGTCGACGACGACGCCGTCTCTCGACAATGAAATGAAATAAACAGTAGCCTTGAAGCAGTTTGACGGGGGAGGCGGGTGACGGGTTATCAATCGACGGCCAACGCCTCCATCAAACAGAAAACCTTGAATTCGTCCATCAAAACATCGCGCCAATATTTACAATAAATATTCCAACAATAAAAAAACAATTGAGATAGAGGGGGGGGTAATTATCGAGACCAATTATCTATTGATTACCCCCTGGATTTTTTGTTGCCGATTGTCTCACCCTTGAAAACCAGTTTTTAGAAAACAATAAATGGCCTTTACTATTTAATTGTATGGTCAAGATATTGTGTAATATTAAACGCAGCTTTTTTCTGTGGCGAAATTTTAAAGGGACATGCTTGCTTGTGAATTTAGCAATGAACAATGAGGAGAAGCATGCTTCTTTTTAGAATTGTCTGAAATTTCAAGTTAATTATTTAATTATTCTTCAAAATTCGCACAAATTAATTTTTTTCGAAACTCTTTAAATTGACCTGAAAACTTCGCGATTTTGGGATTTTTTCGTTTACAACTTTTAATTAAACAAATTTTTTTTGATAATTGAAAAATTACCTCTTGCAATACGACTGCATATCAAATATTCAGTATCGACCCAAAAAGAATGTTTTTCGAGTCAATGAGAATATTTCAACTAGTGTTCTCGACGAATTCGTCAATAAAAAAACAATATATTAATGAAAAATCGTGAAAAATCTGAAGTTCTGAAAAGCAAAACGTCTGCTTTCAGAATCGGTTTCAAATTTTTAAACGAATTATATTATTGCCAGCGGTTTGTTGGTTGGCACTTGCCATCATGTTATAGCCGTCTAATTGCCGGCGAAGCGCTGCGCAATAGCGCAGTGGCGCAAATTTTGAACTCATAATCGCGAGATCGTGGGATCGATCTCCCGCTACGGCGCGAAGTGCTTCTCCTTCCACCACATGCTCTCTCTCGAATGTACATAGTCTCTCAAAATACAGACGGACAAATATAGCCCGACATCTTTTATGTATAATTGTAATCATATTTTTAGATTGCGTCAAAATTTCTTTCTTCATCATGCCAAGTTTCAATTTAAGACATTAATTTTATTTTTTAAGAATAATTGAAATTCAGAATAACTTAAAGATGGTCCCTTTTGATATACGATTAATTTAAGTCCACGCAATAAATAATAGTCAATTTGCCAAAAAAAAAGTCGAATTCCATTATTTGCCACGTGTCCCCCGACCCTTGTCAAAACATCATGTTTGGAATTGTTGATGTCCGAAGCTGGAAAATGAGATATGAGACAATAAGAAGCGAATTGTATCATATAAAGTGTTTGTCGAACAATATTTGTTTGGCTCTTCTCTCCGATTCTCTCATTCGATTTTTCGCAATTTTGCGACGCGAATGAAAAATTGATCGAATCAATCACAAATCGGTCTCGAAACGCCAGCCGAGTCGTGTTTTTCATCATTCGATCAAAACCAATGTGCGAGACGTGGTACGAAGTCCGCAATGAGGTGAGCCAATCCAATTAGAAGATAATTGGGCGCAATTAACGATTCAAAGATTCTGATTGTCTGGGAAGGCGTTCTTGTGATCTACAACGATCGCGAATTTCATTTCTTCAAAATCGTCGACGGCGATTTCTACGAGCTCATCGAATTCATCGACAATATTCAAAAGGTTTGGACCCCCTTTTCCCATTATTTGTTTCTAGATTGATAAAATTGAATCGTTTGAAATGTCGGTCAAGGTCGATTCCGAAGGCTATTGGGAATGTGCGGAAATTCGGGGACAACTCGACAATTCCTTCAAATTCCTCTGCCATTCGACATGCGATTCGCACGCGTTGCACATATTCGAGGTGAACTTGCGTTTATACATATACATCCACAAATCGGTGTTGCGGACATTTGACGAAACGCATTGCAGCCATGGATCGGGCAAATTGTCGAGTTGACGGCTCGATTCGATCCGAATCCGTTGCGCAATTGGGACGCGCGACGAATTGAGAATCGGATTCAGAAATGGCGAGACGTCGTCGAGCGACTCTGCTGGCAGAACGGCAACATCCAATTCGATGACAACATGCTTTCGTGAGAAACAAAGGTTCGTTGGATTGATTAATCGCATTAGTGGCTCACACATCATTCAAAAAACTGGCTTAATCGCACGTAGTGATGAAAATTGTTGCTTATTTTGAATGGAAAATCATTCTTTTGCTGGTAAAAATTGAATTAGTTCGATGGAGCGCGTTTGCTCACCTGACATTTATTTTGTGGTTTTTTTGAAAAAAGAGAACCGCCCAAATTTCGGTTTAAATATGCTTGGAATGTCTTGAGAATGAATTGATTAAAATGAGGTTCGAAATAATATTGGTCCCAAAATCAATAGTCAATTGTTTCATTTTTTTTCTATCAAAAAAAAATTCCGCCACATAATTGCTCGAATTAGTCGCGCACACGCTCTCTGGAACTTGGGTAACATCGACAGAGAAATAGTGTGGCAACGCGAGAGGATTCGACAACGATTGGCCCCCGTACTGTTTGTTTTATTGCCCTCCAAAAATGAGTCATTCGAAGCATTTTTTGCTTATATACAACCCAATTTCGTTTTGTTTTGCGCGGTTTCCAGAAAATTGATTAATTTTTGCGGTGATTATTTAATTAAATATTTTCTCAAAGAATTACGATTTATAAAGAGAAAACTCTTTCTTGAAACAACATTTTCGATAAACATTCAAGTTTTTTTATTTTCTTATGATTTTGTGAATATTCCATTGCTTTTTGATGTTGTCAAGTGCTAACATTTTTTGGAGGAGTTTGGTCAGGCGAGCAAACGCGCTCCATCGAACATTTTGATTTTTTTTTTTAATTTTTCCTTGCTGGCCATTTTTTTGCTCGTTTCTTTTAAAAAAAATTTAATATGAGTAATGAAATGTATTTTTTTTAAATAAAAAAATCATAATGCACATTTTTTTATTCTTGCAATAGAAATGTGTAATTTTTAAAACATTTTTTCCATGATTGAATAAATCCTTAATTTTGAATTCGAAACATTCCCAAAAGCGATAATAAATAAGATTTTCTGTTTCTGAACAATTTATTCAAAAAGTCCTATTAAAAAATGGGCTGTTTTGTTGGAAATTCATTTTCTATGATTATATTTTTTTTAATTGCTCACACGAAAATGCCGTTTCGAAATATTTTCGAAAATCCGCCATCGATCCAGTCGTCTCAAAACCCATCGCATTATTCATTCATTTCCAAAAAAAAAATAAATGCGAAATTAGTCATTTCAAACAATTTGCGATGTTTTCTTCTTCTCAAGACCATTCTTCTATTTTCGTCGAACATTGACAACATATAATATAAATTTCTAACAAATTATCTCGCCTCTAATCCGCCTCAAGATTAGCCAACTAGAGAGGATTAGCTAATAGGAGGGGAGGCGGAGTTTGAGCCGATGAACGAAAGAAGAAAAAAAAAGTTGAAAGGCGGAGTTTGTTTTTGATGGTTTGAACTCGATTCCGTCTATAAAAGTGTGTCGCGCCGCTCGTTTTTCGCTATAAACAGCTGGATGTTTATTTATTTTCAGAGCAATCATGTCAACGATGCTCTTGCTACCCCTCATCTGCTCAATATTATTGATTACGACTACTCGCGGCGTCACGATTGGCAAACTGCTTCAGGTGCCCGACAAGGACCAAAATCTCAGGGTAATCGATTAGTGGCCGCTCCAACTGCCGTTGAATTCATCTAGAAGATTTGAGAATCTCGTGTACAAAGTGGGCCTTCGCGATGCGAACAATCAAATTCGGGACACGGTCTATTGGGTGCCGGCGACGACGCAATTCTCGGCGCGAAAAATCACGGTGATGAGCGGCGGCAAGTACTACAGCACGTGGACGTTCGACATGCTCCTTCAGAAGAGCGAATGCATCGTGCGGGTGAGCGAGAAGCGAATCAAATGGGTGTTGATGATTCGGAATGATTGCAGAGCACGCCGTTCGAGGATCTGCCGAGTTGCAAATCATCGGGTGGTGAGAAATTGGTATGCCATCGATTTCTCATCCGACGCCATTTGGTGTGAGAATTCAACACGCGATTAGTTTTGAATAATGGTTTTATCGATTATTCTCACGTATAATGGTGTAAATTATTTTGGGAAAATGGCGCGAGCAACATTGTTGCTCCGGGCGATTCCAAAAACTGGGCGCGAAAATGAAATCATTTGAATTCTCACACTGATTTTAAATATTTTCCCGTTATTCTTGAATATTTCAGCTATGCACTGCTCATGTATCGCTCTTCGACATCGACTATTCATCGGCTGATTCGGAAGTTCATTGCGCGCGAGCCTAAAAATACTTGTTCTTCCTTTTTTTTTGTAATTTTCAACATATTTAATAAATATGTGCACGAATTTCTCTATGGAATTTCGCTAATTATTGTCTCCCTTTTTTTTTCAAATAATTCTCTATTGCTATTTAAAGATATTGTTGCAATTGGGTTTTTGGGTTATCACAGGGGGATTTTCGTCAAGATAGATTAAATTAGTACAAAAATTGAGCGTAATAAATATATATTAGAAAAAGAAGTTAAAGTCGGATTTTGTTGGACAAAAATGAGCGTGCCGCATATGTGCCAAAAACAGTGCGCTTTTTGCCAACTGCAGCCACGCCCACTTTTTATTTCTGAAAATTTCTAATATTTTGTTATTTTTTGTGAGTTTCCAACCTTCAAAATAATTTTTTTGAAATAAATTTCACAAAATGATTGATTCATCGCTATTGGGAGATTTTTTTACGCGTTCTCCGATTTATCATTTCAACTTTTATCTTATATTTCCCTCAGCGAGAAACGTGTGGCGACGTTCGAACGATTTATGGACGACATGCGCAATGTCTTCCGGTGTTTTGTGTCAATTCGAGACATCTTCGAACCGACTCGAATAACATGAGGTACGCACTGAAATAATTTTAATTAAAACACTTAATTTTTCAATTAAAAAAAAAGTGAATTTGTGAACTCGACGATTGGCAAATTTTTTCAACCTTGAAAATTTCGCGCATCGCTGTTTCGATATCGGAACAGATTTCTCTTGATTATCTCTTCTCGATTTTTTGTTGTCGCATTTATCCGCAAGTTCACCAACTCCATGACTCCGCGTTTCATTAAATGAACGAGCATTCGCTCAACGCGTTTTAATGGGCTTGTCGAATTGTGGCGCGCGGACGGCGGCAAATGTTTCATAGGCATTGTATTCTCACGAAATTCGCTTCGATTATCACCATAAAAGTCGGCGATCGCATCGATTTTCATGGCGACTATGATAGCTACGCGCGCGCCCTCGTGTGTGTATGTGTGTGTGTGTTTTTTTCATTCATTCATTACTCTTTCCACTAAACTACATTCAGTTCAGTGCCAAACCGCCACCCTGTACCACCATCACCACCACCATCGGCTCCGCCCATTCGACGCATGCTACTCGCGACGCCTCTCCTCTGAGTTATCCTCATTGTGTGTGTGTATGTGAGCGCGCGTGCTCCTTTGACGACTTATTCTGAAAATGCCGGACGCCATCATTGAGTATTTCGAGAAGACGCCGAAAGGACTGAAGTTAGATTCAAGGATCACCTATAGCGGAGTCATTCGAAGAGGTAACCATTCATTTTGTGTTCGAACTGATTCACATATTAATTAAAATGCGCAAATGGCGTATTCTGACTCATCCGAATGAAAATGTTCATAAAAAATTTTCCAAATTATTGACCCAATTCCGTGCCAATAGATAGAAAAGAGCGCCAATTTCAATAGGTGTTCTCCTCGGCGAACTGGGTCATTCCTTAAGTTGCCAGATGTTCGCTTACTTGATTTTTATTGGATGCCAATTTTGTGAAATTGAGTAGCAAAACAAGGAAAATAATATTCTAAAAGTTTCTTCGAAGGCACTGTCCGAGTTGCTCGATAGATTGTAAATTCAACATATGGAGAGTTGTAAATCATGCAAATCCGCACAAAGAAGTTGCCGATAATATCAAATTCCTCATTGGTCCGCCGACGTGTTCCCTTATAGCAGGGCTTCCTGAGAATCATTTTTTTCTGTGTGTGTGTGTGTGTGTGTGTGCCAAATCGCGTTTTGGCGCGCCGATATCCCGTCATTCTCGCGCTCGCGGTTTGCATTTCGATGTGAGTCATGCTCGGTTCCCATGCACAAAAGGAGCGAAATCGCGCGCACCTCTCATCCGCCTCACAAAAAAAAACAACATGGGCTTTGCACCGTGGAGAGAAAAAAAATGTATCGTGATTTCACTTTTTGTTTTGCTTCAGTGGACACCATCGAATCCAAGACCGACGTCATGGATCAGGAGGAGGACTACACCGTCACCTACACCGATCTGCCAGGTTAGTCGAGCATATCTTTTTTTGCGGTTACGGTAGTTTGGAATCGGCGTACGAATTGATTTTGTGATTTCCAACAGAAAAAAAAACAAAACTCAATTTTCGCTTTTCAATAGCACTGATAAGATTTGAATTGTTTTTCCCCTTGAGATTTCATCCAGATCGTACGATTTTTGCTATCTTATCATCGCATTTTTTAAATCAAATATTCAATTTTTTAATTTGGGTTTTGCAATTTTGCGAGACCTTCGCCTTCTTGTTCATCTTGAGGCTCAATAAGATGAATATTGCGGGTGTTTATCGAAATATTCCCCAATTTGCAATTATTTTGTATTCAAAATCAATTGAATAGACCGTTTTTGCCTAAACGCCTACTCGCTTGTGCCATGCTCGTCATTGAACGCCGCGATCGGTCGTCGGCACCGACGATGAAATCGAAATCGAGTTTTCGTCGGCCGGCCATCCGAAGCGATTGGTGTGAAATGGTGTGAACACCAATAATCGCGCCACTTCTCCCTGTCACTCATTGTGACACGTCTGACCTGTTCGGCCGCTTGTCGTCGCCTACCGCCGCTGCTTCTCCTCCTCCATCGCCACTGTTTTTCGTCACAGCGTGCATGCTTCGCTGTTTTTTTTAATGTATGCGATTGTCTCCGGTCACTTTCGCTTCAAATCTGTTCCGAGGAAGAGGTCAATTACACAAGCTGATCCACTTTCATTAGGTAAGGAAGCAAGCTGTCGTTGCGGACACAAAAAAAGTAGCACAAATGTGGCGTCGACGAATTGGGTTTGAATATCGAACAGGTAGATGAGGTGGTGCTTCGATTTGTTCTCATGTGGCTGAAGCTCATAGAAGGCTCGATGACCTAGTAGTCCTTGGTCTTACATTATAGCGTTTTGCTTGAAATGACGCCTTATTTATGTACACATCAGTGTTCATTTTGGCTTTTCCTTGTGACCTACATAGTTTCTTTATTTTTCTCTCAAATACGAAATTCCATGGTCCTGTGAGTTGATTCGATCCATAGCAGAGTTTTGTGCCGAATTCCGTCTTTTCTTAAAAAAATTTTTTCGTTCGCACACCTCTGACCTCTGATGACAGTCTGTTGCGAGCTTGTGGAATCGGAAGATTCTTTTTTTTTGCGAAATCTGGATCGTAACATTCGAAGCTTTAGAATCGAACGGATTTGCGGCATTTTGAAAGGCTCTGTGGGTTTCGTTCCTCAACTATCTTTTCTAGTTATTTGGATTTCTGATTATCGCTTATAGGTGGTTCAGCAAATGTTTTCCATGGTGGATCTATGAGATCACGACCTTTTGGTGATGCAAAGCCAATTCAAGCCACTACAGTAATATGGATCTCGTTGGCTTCTATTTTACATTCTAATCCGGTTTCTGTTTTTTTTTGCCACAGTTCTAACTGATCTCAAGATTGACAACATCTACCACCATTCAATTATTCTAATTGAAAAAAAAAAACATATATATATTAATTTTTGATATTGAGAAGAAAAAAAAAGAATGTTTTCCAATTTATTTAATTTAAAATTGGGATAATCTTTGAAGTTGGACGAAAACAACAAAAATATTGGAACGGCAATCCCCCCCATGTTCCATCGGCAAATTTGTGTAAACATTCAAAATTTGATTATCAATTTGTGTTAATGTTTTGATTATGTCGTATGTACTGTTTGGTACCATTCTCCGGACACGTTCTGACCTTTTTCGCCAGTTTTCCGCGCTGATAAGAGAGCCCCGCGCCCGATTCCCAATGAATGCCGGCCATAAACACGATGAGCTCGGTAATAGTAAACCCGAAAAAGAAATGGCTTGTTGTCTCCGCCGACTGTCTTTTTGTACCGTACCATACCGTATATGACTAGGCAGTCAGTCTGAGAATGCCGACTAATAATGAGTAACGAGTTTGTCACTAAAAAGAACGAGGCCGACATTTTTTTTTTGTCTCTCTCTCCCTCCCATTTCGCACAATTGTTGCGCTCTTTGTGCAATTGGTCGTGTGCTCTTCGATGAGCATCAACGAGGTTTCGAGGGGGGAGCTGTACCATCGTCCGTGATCGATTGGACCTATTCGTGAAATGAAATTTTTTACAAAAAGAATTTTTAAATGCCCATTTTAGAACGCTGTATTGAAAAGAAATGTATATTCGTTTATTGCATGAATAGGTTCATTATAATATATTTTTTTTTGCGCAATTGTCATAGGATCTCAATTTTGAGCGTGACAATAGTTCGCCTCAAATATCTTTTGTTATTCGCGATTTTTATTCATTATTTATGAAATAAGTATAGATTTCGAGCTTAATCGAATTGTTTCCTAGGTGAATGATGAGTGGGGGAATGGAAATTCGGCACTATCACCCATCATCGACCACCTGGATTTATTTTATGTGATTTTTATAATTAAATTGCTCGAAAGTGTAGGAGACCCGAAATCGGTTTGGGCTTCGGCGGGATTCGGCGGCCCTAAACAATTTGATCTCGTTCTTGCCTGATATGTTTTGACTGTGTATCGAACATTTGCAAAACTACAGTATACCTCGAAGGCGCATGTAAAAATTAGCTATTTTCGCGGCAAGACTTCGCACTGAATTTGAATGTTGCCACTGGCAACTTGCCAGTATTCGACGGTAAAATTTTTTTGTGGAATTTTCAATTTTTTTTTCACCAAGTTGGAAAATCGAAATCGAGTATTGAGGGATTCTAGAATTTTTATAGATTATTTCAGAATTGAATTTATCTCTCATGAAAATAAATTAGAAGTTTTTGCAACAAAAAAGCCGTTGTTCCCCAAAATGTGCAAGCACTTTAAGAGATTTCGGAATATTTATTGTTAGTTTTCACATCTGTCAGCATTGGATTGCTTTGAGATCTCCAGGGACCCTTTACGAATTACTAGGCACCTGATGAATATGTGAACTTTGCCAACTCAGGTAAATGAA